GAGAAAGTAATTATAGAATTACAATTATAAGCACAATGGTTAATCATGTAGCAATAGCCATTATTGATGTAATTTTCTCAGATATTGGGCTACACAGCTCACCCTTGTGCTGTGGTGATCACACAAAGTCCTGAAGAAGTGCATTTGAAGGGATACCCTCGAATTCGCATTCGTTGCGCCTTTGACATTTGTACCGACGGTGGCGATCGGCGACAGGTATCCGTTGATCGATACCTCGTGCAGTTAGGCTTTTCTCATGCTTGCTGTAGGTGATGTTCTCGATGTGCCATCTACAGTTCGGAAGATGGTAGCCAAATGTTCGATCCACAGAGGATGGCCTGCTGGGCAGAATCCATCGGCCATTTTGGCGGATTTTCTTGCCAAATTTATCCCTCGTGAAGCTTTTTCGGAAATCATCGCTCGCAACAATAGCTTCACTTTCCTTTGCCATGAGACTTATCGCGACACTATTTTGAAAGTGAGCGGCAAAGAAGGCATTTTTACCAAAATGCACGGTGTTGAAGACAAAGACAGGTTGGAACTGCTATGGCTAGACAAAGCAATGTCTTTGAATTTGGAAGATGCCATTGCCACGGTCGAGAAGCACTCGCAACACTATATATAATATAGCTTATGATTCATGAATACTTATATGACATGTTCAGTTAAGTGTATCATATTACATTTTTATCATTCGACATCATATAACTATATGTATATACTACCTGTATCTATAACTATCTATATCTATAACTATCTATATCTATATCCTACTAACTCTATATATATATATAACTATTAGCTATCTATAACTCTTTATGACTATTCACTATATATGATCAACACATTACAACTGATCCAGGAGACTACGGCTGGAAGGTCCTCAGCTCCGCAGACCCGGAGGCCAAGAAGCGTCCCTCGGAGCGTGAGTGAACAACGACGCGAAAAACGCGCCGTTGATGGAGGGAAAACCCCCTATGGAAAAGCCAGACAATGGCGATTTCACCAGGAGAAAATTGGATTTAACTTGAGCTAGTTTGATTTCACCAGGAAAAGTTTGACTTTAATGTATTTTAACTTAACTGAGAACATGTGAGCTTGACCTACGAAAATGGTGATTTCACCAAGACAAATGTGGATATGTAATGAAACAACATGCGGATTTAGCCGAGACGAAAAACAAGTCATGCCACCAAAATGATGGTTTCACCAATGAAAACATGGTATACTTAACAAAAATCAGATATATAGATGTGGACCACACTAGCTAGAAGAGTGTAGATAATTTGCTTTTGGGAGTAAGACTATAACCATCTAGAACCAGGGATGCAAAGCAAACATATGCTTGGGGCGTTCGATGGGTGAAACATAAACCTGTTTACAATGAGGGGGGTCGTTTGCACCTAAGTTGGGATTTGGCCAAGCAGAATAAGGGTCATCGCGGATAAGATGTGAACACATTGTATATTACATATATCATATTATACATATATATATATATATATTATGGCCACCAAGCACCATGCTTATGGTTTATGCATAAGTGTAGCCACATCCAATCTTCTGGGCCAGCTATGATTTATATTTTAACTTGCTTCGAGATGCCTAAACTAACTCTTGGCCAAGACATGTGTTGCACGTATAATTCACATAGTACTATAATTACATATTACTATAATTCTGCACTTACAGTAATATTGTTTCCTTTTAGCGTCACCCAGTATAAGATCTGTAATTTGGTCGAATGTTCAACACACCGGAAAGCACCGGAGTAAAGCATCTCCTGCACGGTTCTGTTTGGAGCAAACACCTTGCATCCACAGCATTGGTTTCATGTGGCAAGTGCTGTTGCAGAATCGATCGCAACATTATGTTGCGAAGAAGAAATTGACCGAGATCTCGCACCAGCTTCAAACTGAAGCTGACAGCAGCACCAATGCGATCAAGGTTTATCAGTTTGTCCTGAAGCCACACAAGACCCAAGAGTCAACTTGAAAGTACTTCGCCTTTGGTTTCCAGCGGTCTCCGGCAATCTCCAGAATCCAGAGCGAAGACGCAGACATCAAAACCAGAATGGACAAGTCCTATGTTTATGTTCAATAAGAAGAGCCTTCTGTGCATCACATCTCTTGGCAGTGCTTGATGACGCGTTCATGGAACGCATGGAACCTTGATGAACTCGCCATTTTTATGCGTTTGCAATTTGCCAAGGCACTATTTGTTTAAGTTTGGGGCTCCGATGTTAATATTTCCCTTGTTTCCAGGCAATCCTATGCTGCAATTCAAACAAGGCTTCGTTCGCCTTGTGGGTGAATTTCTATCTTTCTTGATATGTTTGCTGTAGACGCTACTTGAAACAAATTTGCAAATAATGCAATTCATAGTTAACTTTCCGTGCAGTGAATATCACTGTTTACACACAAGGCATCACTAATATGCCATGGTCAGGATGCATAGAAGTCATAATAACTCACAGAACACCGTCGTTTTTGGTGTCACGTACTCTCGGTACTCGGCAACGGTGCACGTTTTTGATGGGACGTTGATGATATGTTTGTGGTACGGTGAGGGTAGGGTGGGGTGGGGTGGGGTGGGGGGGCTAATAACGTTCAAGTATACTTCTACACACACGTCATGCTACGCTACTGCACCTTCCTCTTGCACTTCCACACACACGTCATGCTACGCTACTGCACGTTCCTCTTGCACTTCCACACACACGTCATGCTACGCTACTGCACGTTCCTCTTGCACTTCCACACACACGTCATGCTACGCTATTGCACGTTCCTCTTGCACTTGCACACATGCAACGGGGTCTAATAATAACGTTCAAGTATACTTCTACACACAAGTCATGCTACGCTACTGCACGTTCCTCTTGCACTTGCACACACACGTCATGCTACGTTTGTGGGGATACTTATACCAGTTCGTCTACCGACATAACCATAAAGACTAGAAACCCAAGCTGCTCTGGATGAAAAACCAGTTTTGCGTACTTTTGCAGTTCGGGGCCTGGAATGATGATACACACAAAGCATTGTAAATACCAGGTCAAATGCTCAATTTTGATCGATTTTTCCTGAGTACTGAGGAGGCGTGTTACCTTGTTTTTTGGCAACTCCTTCAACTTCACTAGCAAACACGCCCAGGTAAGCTCAGCGCAGAGTTGGCCAATGGACGACTTGCCATGACGCTTGATCCATTCTGAATGGCTGTGGATGGTAGCCACATCCCATTGAAAAAGGCTTCACCACCATCCTTTTGGTGGTGCAGGATTTTGCAGCATAAGATATCATTATATATCATTCACAGATGGAGCTTATAATGTGTTGTTTTTGTGTGTTTGATTGTCACATCCAAATTAAGTAAGCATGTGGTGTCTTCATTTGAATTTATTCGGCTGTAGCTCAAGCACCAACCAGCCGATGATCATTCTGTTGTCTACAACCATCAACATGTTTTTCCCCGAAATGGGGTGCAATTAAAGATGCATGACCCTAGATGACCATTTAAATATAGGGAAAAGGATGATACACCAGCCAGTGGGTTTCAGCCGGTCTGAAGTCCACCTGGGCGTCGCTTCACGGTCCAAGGATGGCCATCATCGGCATGTTCTTCCAAGATGGTCTCACAGGCCCCGTGAAACCTTGGGGGAATCGGCAATGCGCTTGCTACGTTTTAATATTTGAGTAAACCTTCCGGGAGCCTTGGTAGCACTTCTACGAGCTCAGAGTTTATTTTACTCCCTGAGGAATCTGAGGAATGGTCGACTCTGGGACTGCGGTGTCACCACAGCCTGGACAGACGAGATGGAGTAGCCCTACCGAAACATGCATTGCCAGACGTGATCCAAAGGATCGGCTACACCGCACAGCCGAGGGCAATTCTCACAACACAGAACCCTGACTCACTTGGTTTGCACGGCTATCCGCGCAGCCTAGTGCACTGCACCATATCTGCTATGGGAGACGGAGCCCACAGGTGGCCAGAGACATGTGGTCCAAGTGTCCAGGCTTCTGACCCGGGCTACGTACCTGTCGATCAAATTCAAACGTTATTTGGCCCAAGCTTGTGCTGATGATGATGATGATGATGATGGGATGATGATTGTGACGATTATATATTGTGATGGCGATGAAGTCGATTGTGTTTGATTGTTGTCCTGGCTGTTGTTTAGATTGGTTGGTCGTCGAAACCTCCTCGTCATTTTGGGCTATATCGGAAGGACGTGAATTTCCCAGGAGGTGCCCCAGCAACCACTTGGGTCTGGGTTCATTTACTCCTACGAAGACTGTACGCTTAAAGTTATAAGACTTTACAGACTTAGCCTAGATATACAGAAGTTAAAGGATTTATGTTGGAAGTTAGCATGACTTATCAAAAAGATAAAAGGAAGTTATGTTAACTTTAATAACTTATTTGTAAGTTTTGTCTTAACTTTTCGTAACTTCTGCTAACTTTTTATAACTTCTGCTAACTTTTTATAACTTTTCATAACTTTTTGTAACTTTTTTGTATATTTTTATACTTTTGAAAGTCTTTGCCTTGGTTTCCGACCACGTGGATTTTATAACTGTCTTGTTTCTGAAAGAACTTTCAGATATGATATCCTTTTTTTGAATCGACGAAGTGATGTGAAAGCGTTTCAGTTATGTATGTTTCAGGAATCATGACACCTGAGGCGATATGTTTTTTTTTGTGATATCTCTGTCTGTATTTTTGGATCTGAAAACAAGTTTAGTTGCAACTGTTCCCGTTCGGGATCCGTCATTTTGTTAAAACGATCCCGTTCGGGACTTGGTTGTTTCAACCTCTCCCTTTCGGGATCTAGTCCGTTCCAACGTTTGGTATTGAACTATAGGTATTTTTGTCTTAACTATAGCTATTTTTCTTTGAACTATAGCTATTTTTGTCTGAACTATAGCTGAACTATAGCTGAACTATAGCTGAACTATAGCGGAACTATAGCGGAACTATAGTGGAACTATAGCGGAACTATAGCGGAACTATAGCGGAACTATAGGGGAACTATAGCGGAACTATAGCGGAACTATAGCTGAACTATAGCGGAACTATAGCGGAACTATAGTGGAACTATAGCGGAACTATAGCGGAACTATAGTGGAACTATAGCGGAACTATAGCGGAACTATAGCGGAACTATAGCGGAACTATAGCGGAACTATAGCGGAACTATAGCGGAACTATAGCGGAACTATAGCGGAACTGTCGCGGAACTATGGTGGAACTATAGCGGAACTGTCGCGGAACTATAGTGGAACTATAGCTGAACTATATGGAACGTGCTGGTGCTTTTACTTTGAGAGGCAATGCAGCTAACACAAACACACACTGTTTGCATATTGATAGAAAAAACAAGACCTTCTCTGCAAGAAATATCTTCCAAGACCAGGTCCTTTACAAGCATTAGATATTACAAGTTCAAACATTCGATCCTTTACAGGAAATGTCTTTACAGACCACATCCTTCACAGGAACAGTCTTTGCAAACCATGTCCTTTACAGGAACAATTTCTTCAAACAGAATCCTTTACAGGAACCATTTTTTCAAACCATGTCCGTTCCAGGACCTCATTTTTTTCACACCGATTCCTTTACAGGACCTGTCTTCACAAAAAATTTGCCTGCGAACAACATCGTTTCCACATACAGAAAGATTGTTTCACCCTGTATAAATGTTGACAAACTTTGTCACAAACTTAATGAAACTCTCGAAAAATGTAAAATAAATAAACATTTTCATTGCCCTCTTGTAAACATATTTTTAACTTTATGTACCTTTATACTAACTTTTTGTAACTTTTTATAACTTTTTATAACTTTTGTTAACTTTCAGATAACTTATGATAACTTTTCCTACATACTTATGTTAAGTCTGTTAACATAGTTATAAAAAGAAAACATGCAGTTAAGATACTTACGATAAGTTCATTAACCATTGATATTTTACCTAAACATTTACAACTTCTCGTAGCCGGCTAGCTAAACTTACAAATTACTTATCAAATGTTATGACACTTTACATACTTGCAAGCAGGTTATAGACATGTTATAGAAGGTTTATATACATGTTGTAACTCGTCTAAATCTGTAAACTCATATAACTTCCAGCGTACAGTCTTCGTAGGGGTCTTAACTTTAACTGGTCAACCAACGATATACTGATATACTGTATATGTATATATATATATAATATATATATATATGTATATATATACTGCATAACATATACAGTATATGCATATGTATTGCCCCATTGCATTTCATCATTATTTTCTATCTATGTCCACACCATTATCGGGAAATATCTCTATCTTTGGTTGTTCTCCTATCCATTTTCGTTGGTAGCATCACCATTGTTCTTAGGATGATTCTCACATTATTTGTAAATCCCACCATTGTTGTTAGGCTACATTTAAACATATAGATGTATATTATAAATAATATATAGGCATGAATACTTATATATATATATATATACGCAGTTGTTGCTTAACCCACTGTTTCAGTATCAATGCCTATTTCGGTTCCTCAGGTGTTTTTCTGTCAGCAAAAAATCAACCACACCTATGTTGGATCATTTTCTGGCTAGCTTCTCAGAATTGGTTGAAGGGATGAAGGGAATATCTACAGGAAACCCCTATTACAAGTGAGGGTAGAAGAAATGTTGTTCTACAATGTTTCCTGTAATCCCAGTTGGATAGCATAAGGACCATAGTTTCCTGTAGATTTTCCGACGTTCTGGTTGCAAAGACCCATCGACCACCTTGGCGTGACAGGTTCTGCCTGGGGCGACTGGGCCAACTACACCGATTCGCCCTTGCGGGCCTTTGAGAACGAGACGGGTGTGGCTTGCCGAGAATTAAATGGTTGATGATGATAGGGGCTATAGCATATTTTTTAGTATATTATAGTGACTGTTGACATTGAACTATGTTTTTTAGGGGTTTTACCATCAAACTTATGGATGTTGATTATTGAAGGTTGTTTTTGACCGACTTGGTCAACTGGAGACTCATACAACCTATAATCAACGGGACTGTACTTTTCCATAGTTCACTATAGTGCACAGAAACCAGAAACGGGAGGTTGGGCTTATGGATGAACCAAGTGGATGAGGTAAATCTCCGGGTTTCAATACTAAAACAAAAAGGGCTATGCATCAGGAACCCCAAGTGGTGCGTGAGACATTTCAGTAGCACAAGAATCAGAGGCTAAGTGTTCATTTTATGGGGGGAATCCACAGCTTCCTCAAACGTTAATCGATGTTTCTTCTTATTCGGAAAAAAAACATCAGTTGATGTTCTTAGATGATAATCTCGAATCATCTTTGAGGTTCTTTTAGAAATAATCTAATTTTCTGCAGTTTCTGTAGTCGCAAACATATGGTGCAGACAGTTTTTGTGCATCCGAGGTGCAGCCTCCAGTTGGATTCTGGGACCCTCTAGGGCTTTCCGTCAGCGGCAACGTCTCTGTTGCCTGGTGATGTTCGTCAGCCGTTCCTGATTTCTGTGAGGCGACGTTGAACCCTGAACTTGTGATATATTTTGTACTGGGAAAACTGATGGCTAGATGATTGCTAGGAGATCCTCAAAAATCCTAAAATGCTCACAAGGGATCAACAGATATTGTTTATTCTTTTTGGAAACCAACGCTATTGAGCATTCCCATGTGATCAACTAACAATTAAGCAAAATTCCACCGTATTGTCAAGCCACTCGAAGAGATCTAGTTTGGGGAACCACCGACCAAAAAATGTTACACCTATGGAAACAAGTGTCTGAAAGGATCTGAAAGGTAAAATTGTCCCGGACTGCGGACATCAGCATGCGTTTAAGACTGTGGGTGGTACCACCAACATAGCGGAAGTGGAAAAGGGACGCTACGCCAAGTGAGCTGAAACAGTCACCAGGATGAGACACAGTCCCCTTCTGAGGGATAAGTCAACAATGCTTTTGGCGACCAAGGCTCAGGCTACATATGGACAAGGTACCCACAGCTTCCGGGTTCCAGATGACTTGACCAAGATACGATCCGGTATCATGCGTGCCATGTTCAGCCTGGATTTCTATCCCATGAAGACACACCTGACATTCGCAATCCTTCTGCCACCACAGCTGGACGCCTACTTTGGACACGTATACCAGGGCCTTTCGTCTCCTTGCCAGGTGTCTCAGAGACGACGGCTTCCGTAAGTTGTTGCAACAGACGTTGGAGAGGAATTTTGTGAAAAGGTTGAAGGGCCCACACGCAAGATTCAAAAACACCTGGTGGTATTTTCGGTGACAGTGCTAGGCAATTGGCAACATTAGAAAAATGAAAGCATGAAGCGGGAACGTCTCTGTTGCCTGGTGATGTTCGTCAGCCGTTCCTGATTTCTGTGAGGCGACGTTGAACCCTGAACTTGTGATATATTTTGTACTGGGAAAACTGATGGCTAGATGATTGCTATAGGAGGTCCCGAAAAATCTTAAAATGTTCAAAAGGGATCAACAGATATTGTTTTTTCTTTTTGAAAACCAACGCTATTGAGCATTCCCATGTTCTATATTCGTGTGATGTCAATATGACAATCTGACTCCAGTTCAGTACCAGAGGGAATCATTCAACCTGGAAAGGTTCACTTATCAACACCCACATGTAACCCAAAGAAATAGTTCAGAGAAACATTTTCCAGTTGGACATGGCCAGTTTATGGCCTCCCTGATTCCATTTGAATCCACGTGTTTGGCCAGAAGGGATAGGTCCAGATGTCCACGGGCAGTCATTTTGACCTGTTATAATCCATGCCGAAGAGGACCTTATGTTTTTAATAGATGTAAATCAAATGATAAATCAACCTATACCACCATAAAAGGTTGGTGTAAACCATCCCTTGTCCCTTGGTAATTATTGGTTTACCACATTAATCCTTCAGAACTGCGGAACAATATGGAGTAATGTGGGAAACAGAAAGTTACCTGAATTTAATTATCGTGGAATATTTCATGTATTTATATCATTTTAATATCAATTCTCAGTAGGGAAAATCGCATCGAACATCGTCCATGTTGGATCCCCAAATGGCGCAAATCCCAGCGCAATTGGATCCTCTGAGGATTACAAGCGCCGACGCGAGGTGGAGTTGAAACACGGCCGTGTGGGGGAACCTGGAAAAGCTGGTGGCCACGATGGAGATGGTGCATGGCGAAGCGGAGAAGAGTTGGGACATGTTGGGACGTGATTTATGTTATAAATTGTGTTATCTGTTTTGTTTTACTTGCTTATAGCCTTTAAACTTTGAAATCTTGATAAGATTTGAATGGATTTGATAAGTCTTTGTTTGTTTGCCGCTTTCTTTGCCGTTCAGATGTTTATCATGACCATACGATGATCCTTCAAAGTTTGATGGGTTGTGGGTTCGAGGACCATCCCATGGTCGGATCCCGACGAAACTGACTCTCAGGTTGCCATGTTCGCCACCATCGGATACATTCTGCCAGAATACTGGAGGTTGGAGCATTGGAAATTGCTGATGTGTGAACCCACAAGGAGCTGGATATGCCAGTTTTTTTGTTTGAGAAAACTAATTTCAGTGTACGTACGTTTTAGTGAGTAGTTGTTTTTTGCCATTGAATTCATTAAATGATGTTGAGTGGAAGAATCTCACACGAAATGTTATCCTTCCAGGTCCTTGCATAGCTCCATGTTGTCTTTTGGAGGTCCAACACATTGGTGATGTTTGGTTAAACATCATGAAGCTACCCAGCCTGTCAGCGATATCCGAATCACAGGGCCAGCAACTCGACATGCCGATCTACCCTATTTACCAGGTTCCTTGTAAAACAAAATCCTGACCCAATGTAACATGCTGCAGGGAACTTCAACTGGAGCCCAACACATCTCTACATGTTGCATGTTTTGCATGTACAGTTGAAGGCATTGGAAATGCCCATTATTTCCATGAGCGATTCTGGGAATGATTCTTTGGCGATGATTTGCCACCTTTGGCTATTTATGCCAAGTATATAATGTCCCCGCCAAAAAAAATCATGTGGTAGACTGTGGTAAAGCCAAGAATAAAATACCATAAACCATCCCCAATGACCTGAAATAGTGTTTATTTATCCAAAATTAGAGGCTTATGACATTGGGTAACTCCCACATTAGCTGAATCAGCCAGGTTCCCAGGCTATTTGTCCAAGTTCCTGGACATAAAATTCTCGGAGGTTCCCAACGGCCTCAGTGCTTTCTCCAAGGTCCTCCTTCGCCATGGGGGTGATGGGGTCTCCTCATTTTTTGTGGTTTTGAGCTGGGACGAACCCTCCAAAGATAGGGATTTTGCATGATTTTGAAAGCAGAACTTGCTAACAACTGATGGTTATTCAGGATGTTTTGCCAGACAGCAGAATGATGATATGTGTGAGCCCGACGGCAAGAGAAAACACATCTTCAAAGGACCTGTTTTGTTCAAATGTGTACATATTTTCTGCTGGCCACAATATCCGTACATACCCATTGCAGATGGGCAGGATGGCTTTAGTTATATGGTTGATTTGTAATTTACTCTAGCAGAGGAAAACACACTTCTCTGTTTGTAAGGTACAGATTGATGTGAGGGGAAGGACCCCTACTTTTTCATTGTATCGGTTAGTCACTCATCAAACGACACGTGTGATTCATACTGGTTAGATCCCACTATCAAAATTGAATTCACCCGTAAGCAAAGATCATGATTCATTAGAGTATCCCTTCATGTTACACACAAGAGGCCCTGCATTTCTATTGGGAATATCTGGGCAAATTCCACATCGCAAACCTGTCACAAGTTATTTTGTTGGATGATCCCCCAAACCCCAACCAGCGTATTTGATGAGGTCGGCCAGTTTTAGTATACCCACCAAATAACCCATAAATTGGAATGATCATCAAAGATAATTTTAAAATACTTATCGATCATCCAAGAAAAAAACTAACCCCATACTTAGTATATATCTTAGTATATAATATATTTTTAATCTATAACATTAACCATAAAAATAGCATGGTAGTGATACGGGCTGGATCCCGGTTATGGGCGGACCACAACCCTTACTGGGATCCGTCAGGTTCCCGCCCTGGGCTGGCTGCAGATCGTGGGCTTCGCCGGCATTGTGGAGCTGAATGCGGGGACACCCGGTGACCAATTGGATTTAGCCCCAAAATGACAGGAACATGGGACGAAAATGGCGAATTCACCATGAAAAATGAAGGGATCAAAAGGGATTGCACTTAATACCTCATTGAGCATCAATTGATGCTTGCTGTTGCCATGGTGCTCAAAGGATCGGCCAAGATTCCACGATAAAAAAGAATGGAATTTGGGTTGTCAAGCCAAAGGGGAATTCCAAGATCCAAAATGGAGGTACTGTCCCATATATAGCCATATATATATAGGGGGGTATATATAGTATATCCCCTTACATAGCCCTATTAAGTGGGCCAAAAATATTATGGTAGATACCTCCAATTTAGATACCTGAAATTGCCATTGATTTTTCTTCCACCTTGGAGCATACTTAACCCCATCATTTTACTGCCTATCACTACTGCCGCAGCCAAAGAGCAGAGGAAGGTCAGGGAGAACTGTGATTGTTTTTTTTCATCCATCCAATGAAAATTCCAGCTGTATATATATATATAGATGTGTATGTACTGTAAAGATATACCCAGCAAACCCCAGAAATTCACCATCTCGGGAGGTCTACAATGAGCAGGTGAACGATGAGCCTGGCAACTACGGTGCAGGCTTTTTGGGTCTCAGGCGCAACGGATGGGGGATTCAAGGGATTTGAATACCCTAATCCTTTGCTACACATAGTCATATGTATATATATATATATATGCACGCTACAAGATTAACCATGAACGTCTGCAGCAATCGCTTATATTTGCTGGAAAAAACTAAGAGTGTTTCCCTCTGCAGTTTGTATTTGCATCAATTTCTTGATGGTGGACTTGGTCCTGCTAAACATGGTGATATTTCATGGGTCGGCTAGGTTCGTGTTCTGTGCCATAAATGCGAAGATAGAGCAAAAAGTGAAATATAGTCTTTGTTGGATGCTTCATACCTCTAAGCCTTAGTTTAAACACAAATGCATGGGGTGGTAAAAGATGGAGTAACCCAACATCTGCTAGGCTAAAAAAAAATCCATGTTACTAGAGGGTACCTTCGTTCGACCTGCTAGGTCCATTGGCTTCATGAACGCCGGCATCGCCGACCCCGAGGTCCGCAAGAAGAAGCTGAACGCTGAGTGACTCGGCGCGGCCGGCTTGACGGCGAAGTCAGGGGCACCTGCGGCAACTGGTGGTTGAATTTGATGGTGTAATTATATATATATATATTTATTGTTTTACAATTTTTGATGTAATTATATGTTGTAATTATCATGTATCATGTATTTATTTTGTAGTAATGTAAGGTATAAGCAAATGTCTTGTAACGTACAACCATCTAGAACCATGGTTGAAACTATATTGAACCATGTCAGGTTTTGATTTGATTTAATATTATGGTACTTAAACTGGTATGAACCATCAATCAAGCAAAGATATGTTTAAAATGGTGGTGCGGTATACCGGCTTAGCCAACGAGAAGTACCGTAGGAAATCACCAGTAAAGGGTGGACGATTCACCCTTGCTGATCAGGTGTATAGTTACAACGTGGTACCTCCCAGTTAGGCTGCGGTTGTCACATGTCTGATTCAGGTCAACGTTTGAATGTTTGTTTGGACCGTTTAAGTATCGAATATGTCCAGCCGTACGGTTGGTGTGGGTCCCCCCAGATTTAAAGATAGCAAAGTTGACACAAATACGTAGGCTAAGTACGGTTTATGGTATAGACTTAGATATAATATATATATAACATTATAAGTCATATACTCTTCATGGAGTTTATAAACCAACAAACATATCTAGGAGTTCCCTAGCTTTTTACCTGGTGTAATCAATGACTTTTCACGCTCAGGTTGGCCAACGGCCGCCTGGCCATGTTCGCCATCATCGGTATGTTCTTCCAGGTGGAGTGGTTGGTTCAAAGATGTCAGGTCGCTGAAGGATGTTGCTAGGGCTTTGACATATTTATCTGGGTACCCTCTGGTAAACTAACATAACCATGGAAAATCACCATTTTTAATGGGAAAATCCTATAAATTGCCATTTTCAATAGCTACGTTAAATTACCAGAGGGTAACTTATAACATATTATAACGACCTCACTGCGACCGAAGTGACCGAACCTTGGAATCATGGTTAGTAAGGGGAAAGATCCCCAAGATAGCCTTATTTCAGGTTAGTGAATTATTGTAATTTACCCAGATTTATGGTTGTTCAACCATACAAAAGGGATGATTGGTTGAGATGGCGAGCATTGTTGTGAGGTTCAAAACACCACCCAGGTTGATTGATGTGGCAAAATTCAAGAATATTCATCTCATGTGTTTAATGGACATAAACTTTGAACACACCCTCAACTATCCTCAACTGTTGTTTATGGAAAGACCTTTTGAAGACCTTATGATTCCTCCCTTGCAGATATTGGGGCACAGTATTGTACCTGCTGCTGATGCCATAAAGTTGCAGTCATCCAGCTGCTTCACGTTTCACATGGATGGTCCATGGTTTTCCTCTTCGCAAAGGGGGTGGCATTCTTTGGACAACTATCCTACGGTGGTCTTGCTTCTGTTGTCATGTATTTTGGATCCCAGTGTTGCTCGCCAAGTGACTGCGCATTTGTATTCCAAAACTCAGTATGGCAAGCGAAAGCATTGGCTCGTACGACTACCGAATTGGCTGCAAAGGTGGCTCACAATCCAGCCCTCGAGACTTTATGGAGTCACTTTCTACTTTTGGATTTCACGAAAGCAATGTCGGCATCAATAGAACTGCGTCATTGCATTTGTATCGTCGTTTGGGCTTTCCTTTTCCCCTTCTTTCTCTCATTGATTGATACCCTGCATTCAGGCAATATCAGATGACAACTGCAGCAGGTCTCTCGAGTTTTTATACATTGGGATCGCTCCCCCGTTCACTATGACATGTTTACCCATCAGTCCCATTCATTCCCAAACTGCCGGAAGGAAAAATCAACAGGAAAGCCCGGGGTGTAAAAACCATCGTCAGGACGGCCTCACCGGCTCTGCTTGGGGCGACTGGGCCAACTACGCCGATTCGCCCTTGAGGGCCTTTGAAGGCGCGCGAAGACCACAATTTTGGCTGGTCATTTTGAGCAGTTGACAATTTATCGGTAGTTGTTATAGCCAATAGCCATAGCTGTTATAACAACTACCTATAAAAGTTGGTGATTTTGGCCTATAGTTGAGGTAGTTGTTATAGCCATAGCTGTTTTCTGAGAGATGCGACTAGCGAACATTTTGCAAACAAATCCTTCGGTTTAGCTAATAATAAACGAATAAACGACCGCGGTTTCCGCTTCATCGTCCCTTCCACCCGTTCCACCCGAGTGAGACATTCCAACGGCATTCCAGAAGCCAGTAGCATCGATTGGCGTTGGAGGAGCCACCGATCACAGTTGGAAATTTCCTGTAAATGGGCGTTTCAAGTTTCAAGCAACATGAAGGTTTGTCTGAAAATAGGGTAGACAAGAGTCCCATGGTGGATGATTTTTTTGTTCTTTAATACCTGTATAATGTGTAATGGCAAAACATGACTAAACCGCCGAGTTATGAACAAACCGTAAGACCCATGTGGAAGTGGTTATTTGAACACCAATAATTAATAGCCACTTGCATAGAATGTGTCAAACACAGTAAACCTAAATCACCAATGTTCACGATTATTTCTGCTGAAATCATTTGAGATTGCGATAAGTTCATATAATTTAACCCTTTTGTTTGGAGAAACCCATGCGTAGATGGTACCTAAAGAAAACCACTGATACAATGTGGGGCCCCCAAGATACAAGTTGATTTATAAACCCATAAACTAGTTCGTTGTAAGTGCTATGAACCATACTCTTTGGAGTTATTTGCACCAACGCAGCTACCGTTTGGGGGGGTGGGCTCTACATCAAGGAGCTTCCAGAGGACTGCGATCACCAAATGGCTAATGACACCTTGAAAGCCCTTCGCTTTTGGGCCGATGGAAAGTTACCGGCATACGTGAGAGCATCGGGCTGGAAGGGGCACTGGCCTTTTCAACTTCTCAGCGTTGGACGCCAGTGGAAATTCTATACATAAGCAATCAACAGATGGTGTTCTTAGCCGACAACCTAGGCAACGCTGGTCCCATGCAATATTTGTATTGCGGAACTCCAAGGCAGATCAAATTCAAAGCAGTAAAAAGTCATGCTCGGACTCTTCAGAAACAAGCTAGTGAGCAGGCCACAGCTTCAGCTTCTGCTGCGCGACCCACAATGATTTCATCGGCAGATCGACAGAAAGAGTTCTACGCCAAGGTTCACAAGTCTGTTCCTGCACCAAAGATCATCTCCAGCAAAAGAACCTGAGCTGGTAAGTTTTGACCATTCTTTGTTTCCACCAGTATGTGTGGCATGTAGCCCGGCGCCTCAAAAATACACTTATGCACATACTGTTTGGTAACTCTCCCAACAAATTATGGTATCAACTTCATCAGCTTCATGAGCATGTCTTGAACCGGATCGGTTCGCTTAATGTGGGTGGTATGCAACAGCCTACAGCCGCAGCAGCGAATCAATAGCTTAGATCTTGATGTCCTTGTATTGACCGAAACTCATTTGCAATCTCATTTGGAACAATCTGAACCGCATTTATTCAAGCAATTCCAACCACCTTGTATATAACTGTATATCCCATCATATCCCACTATATTCCCATAATTCTAGAGGCAACATTCCCATATTCAGAAAATCTTCGCATACCATGTTTTCATCGTACTCCAGACCTGGGTTTTGGTATGTTACTTTGATAGGCATTTCAGCTCAATCTGGAGGGAACAGTTGGCCCACGGCGAATCCACTGAATGCCCCTCCACAGCTTTCTATCCCCTATGTCGTTCCAAAGCAGCTGTGGACGTTGAATGAATTGCAGGCTGCTTTGATAAGGAAGTTTCCTCATTTGTCTACCGAAGAAGGACAGGGTTGTCAAAGGTAACGTTTTTAAAGGTTGGCTGAGTAAAAATTAGCAAGTTTCTTCCCCGGGACCTCACCCAAGGTGAACTCGGAAAAATAGAACCCACTGGTGTGCCCCTGGAAGTTTGGGCTGGCTTTGGGATTGGAATTTTGGTGCTGGCCCCGAAATTTCCCTATGTGGTCTCTATACCAGCCACGCATACTCGGAATTCTTCGGATTCCACAAATTCTTCGCACTCCAGCGAGGGCATCGCACTCCACAGCTAGGGACGTACACATACTGTAAAATCCACGCACTCTGCAAGATCTTCGCACTCCATAAAATCTTCGTACTCGGTGATTTTCTCTTTTTTTCTGTGTTTCTTTTTCGTTTTTTTTTTTCTAAAATCGCCTGGAATCACGTTTTCTGGAATATGGGGAAGATGGAGTTTTCGCGTGAGACGTCTGTAGTTTCACATACTATCGCATTCCAGGCCATTTGGCCAAAAATTGCCAAAAAAAAGAAAAGAAAGAAAACAAGCTCAGCATGGTGAATTGTGATAATTTTCTGGTATATGATGGAAAAAACTGGTGTTGGATCCATGGGGAAGGTCGAAGGGGGCCACGCATACTGTTTTATTTTCGCATTCCAGAAAATTAGCGCACTCCAGGGGTGGCATCGTACTCTATCGGTGGAATTATTTTGCACGGAAGAAAACAGGATCGTCGATGATTTGTGTTCCCAGATCCTGTTGTGCAGAGCTCTTTGCGGGGCCACAAAGATGTCAAGAAAGATGGGGATGGCGCTGCTGGTGAAAGGCCAGCCAAGCGTGCCAGAACATAAGCTTAAAGCTTATGAATTTGGTTTTGGGATCCTGAAAAGTGTAGATGACAAATTCCCATAAGAACATTATTAATCCATTTTTGGAAAGCTCAACATTGTTAATTATGACATTTCCAGAAATTGTTGAAAGTAAGGATCTTCTTTGGGGAAGAACATGTGCAGTCGACAATGTACGTGCCAGAAGAAAAGGAGTACTTGGCAAACTGTATGAAATGCAAATTTCACCTGAAAGGGGTCTTCGCAATTCCCTGAAATTTTCCAGCTATTTTGGCATGGAATATGTTCGGCCCTGGAATATGGGCAAGAAATTGCTAGAATAATAGTCCCATTAAATCCCATTAAACCCCATTATATATGAATCATTTTCTCCATGAAACTGAATGGTTCCACATGGTTCCACCATGTTCAACTCGAGGCGAGTTGGGCGTGCAGCCACCTGTGGGCTTTTGGGACCCCTTGGGCCTCTCCTCGGACGGCGATGTGGAAGTCTTCAAGCGACGTACCGTGGCGGCAAGCCACGCTGGAGCAGGGTTTTATCAGGAGCTAAAAGGTGGGCCCCCCTATATGGAGGTTTCCTAAGTCATGTTGTTACCCTTAAATCATCCGTTTGTAGATGCATTTTCCATTATAAAACATCCAACTATTGGGATCCCCTTTCATGGAAACCTCCATATGTTGGGTATGGTTGAGTTATAAACGCCATCTTATCAAAGGAAGTAGCATTGCAACTTGACTTAGTCAGCTGCGCCATGTTTCTGGCAACACAAAACACTACAATAGTTTTTGGGGTGCATCTAAAATAATCAAATAATCAAAATGAATGTTCATCAATTTCGGTGATGTGGATAAGTAACTCCCTATAGGGTATAATAGGCTGTATATTCTGCACTTGATATCTTTGGAGCCTCCACAGACGGATTATCTGAATTTTGAGATTAAACTGCTCCTAATTTGAGGGGTTGTCTATGCAGGGTGGGGTGCAGGGGTTGTGGGGGAAGTCCAGGGCTGGTGGCCAAATCCTGGCGCCCCTGCAGCGGCCAAAACCAAACCAAGTAGAATTGGTTGAATATATTCTTGGAAGTTCCAAACTATGCAGTCATAAAAAGAGTACCCGTTGATTTTTCCTTATTTTTCCTTCAGAATGTAATAAAATAAAACGGGAACTGCCCCATGGAGGCCTTAATCGATGATTCGGATTCTTTCCAAGGCTTTGAAAAACTATCATTTTCCCTGTTCCTGGGTGGGCCCACTAGGTGATAGGAACTACTGGCAGGGGGCAAGACCTTTGATAAGGGCTGTTGGACTGATGTAAGCAAAAATAGTGAAAATGTAAAAGTTTACAAATCTGACTAAGTGCATTTAAGATTTACAATTCTAACTAAATGGATTTAAGATAATCACTGATTGAAGGAGGGGGTCTCCCAGGCCCCCTCCCTATATCACTTGGAGCGCTCCGGAGTGATGTAAGGGTGCCCTTGACTATCTTAAATTAAATGCAGAGGGGAAAAATCATTTAAGGCTTTGAGCAGTCCAAAAAACTACCTCCAATGAATGGCCAGGTAGGGCTTAGAGCACTGAGAGCGCTCCAGAGTGAGTGATGTACGGAGGGATCTCCCAGGCCTCCCTCTTTACATCAGCTTCCGCTGTTTGGATCCAAGGCAAGCATCTAGGTTGAAATGGATCGTGAAATCACCGGTAAATAATTGATAGTAGAATATACTATTTATTTATTATTAATTATCATAAAATTATCATATAAATATATTACCTGGTTCGTTGGCTGATTTTGTGACCAACTGGGTAACGACCTTATCCCAATTTCAATAACCCAATGGGTCAAAGATTCAATCATCACATGTTCAATGGGTCACCCCAATGCGATCATGTATCACCCTTAGCCAAAAAGCCAATGGGTCCATTGTCTGAGGAGCTAATACCGTTGGACAATACAACAAGGATCAACAAGATATCAATGGGTGTTTTCCCAAGAAAACATGCAATCCACAACCCAAATTTGTGAAATCTAATAATGACCCCAGTTGGTCCAATGTGGAATCAAATTATGTCAATCTCCCTGAACACTGGCGCGAGCATTTGAGATAGCCAAAATTACAACCAATGGGGCCTCAGATTAAACTTGGAAAAAAACTACACACGATATATTTGACTATCTTAAATGCAGGCCTAACGGTTAGTGGTAAATGGGCCTTTTCTTACATTTAGCGGTAGCGGACAACAAAACATCGACGTGTATCCAGCTGATCTTCGGATGCCACTCAAAGGATTGGTTTCGACCATTGGATCAGTCGGTGTCATTACCTTTTGGCAATCAGGACCGCAGCAACTATTTTTTTTCCGGCAGCCTCCTCCAGCAAGGCAGCTCAAAAGTCGCAGAAGATTGCCTTCTTGAAACCCTTAGTGTTTGATTGTTTTTATTATATAAATTTGGTATAATTTGGTTATATAATATTATATAATGTTATATATATATGTATATATATATTGCTGTATAATACTATGTACATAATATATACCTTGTTAGTCAGACCCAACTAGATCTTAGCATCCCCTCGTTTTGAGGGATCAACTGGTTGGGTCTTCCGTTACGACTTTCCGCGGCATCTCTCAGGTCGTGAGGTGGAGCTGAAGCACGGACGTATCTCCATGTACGCCTGCCTCCGTGCCTCGCAACCGATGGCGCAAAAACGGAAGCGTTTTTCTGCAAGGCAACGGGCCCATAAAATGTGTGATGTGTGTCTAGTATCTAAGACAAGATTGATGCTATGTTTATGTATGTGCATATATATATATATATTATGTGCATGTAGTATGTTTTGTTTATTATTTTTTTTATTTGTATATGCATACAACAATATGTACGATGTACAGTGTTTAAAGTGTACATGATGTGTTTCTATATACATATACAATATACTATATAATTTATAGTACGCTTGTATACATTTATTTATATGTGCTCAGATGATTAAATGTACAGTGTGGGTAAGTCTACACAGCATGCGCACCTGGTATTTGCAGGTGCAGTTTATTTGATATGTGCTGGTATGTTTGTCGCACACGTTTTTTTAAATGTTTCAAGCGCATACATTGCATGAACTATATGTATAGCGCAGCAACATATCGACAATCCGGAACTGTTATTACTATGGTTTCTTAGGTAGATGAGTTGGGATGAACTGCACTTCAAAAGACCTCTTGTTTTCAGAAGAGTTGCAGGGTGCCTTCAACATCCAGTCACATTGTTTTGTTCTCAACATCAACATTGGTAGACGAGTTGGATTTCTTCAGTGATGTCACATCCGACCTGTCACAGAAACTTCCCATCCGACCTGTTTGACCCAAGGAAGCACATCATTCCCAATCCAATGGTTCTGGAAAACGTTTACATAGCGAACTGGAAAATCACTCGTTTCATAGGTAAATCAACTATAAATGGGTCATAGCTTTATTAAATTACCAGAGGATACCTTAAAAAAAGGCAATTTCTCCATTGGAAAATGATGAGACACCATGGGATTTGGGGTTCCATCCCTATATGGACAGGTTTTTAAGAACCCACAACTTTGGGTTTTGGTTGGATTTGGTTTCTATATTGCTTTTACCAACCAAAACCAACACAACTTTGGTCTCTACTAATCAAGCATCCACCAATCCACCAGCGTTGGTGCCGGTAAAGATGGCACCTGAGGGCATTGCTACAATGTGAGGCCCCCAGGATAGCTAAGTTGGTTTATATCCAATAACTATGGTTTATGGTACTTATAACTGGGGGGCCTCACATTGTAGACCTTCTGTCACCCTCCGAGGATATATTGTGCCGGAGTACTTCCGATTCCCTGGAGTTCTTCGGCGGCAGCCCAGCCTCGGGTTTACGGTCAACTCGGCCGATCTCGGTGAATCTGGTGGGGCATGGTGGGGCCCCCTCAACTGATGTTGGTTGGCTTAAGTAAACCCTATTAAAAACCCTATTAACATTGTTAACTATACAGTTATATATAAATATGTATATACACATATATGTACCTACCCCACATAGTTATATAACCCATACGTACAAGCCAGCTTGATTATCGGAAATGGGGCCCGCACTTGTCTAAATGTAAACGGTTTCGGCCAGATAGCCAGAGGAATTGTGGAACAGTGGTGGAGTCTTTGGCAACAGTATCGAACTGTCATGCTCAGTACAATGTGGGACCCCTAGATAGGCAAGTTGGTTTATAAGCAGGCTATATAACTAGGATTTATGGTGCAGATAGATTTAACGTCTACCCCTCAGGGAAGGATTTGGTGTGAAATCACTTCCTCCATCAGGCAACACAAAGGCTGATGATTGCAAAAAACAACATGTATATTTGTCCAAGTCAAGTTGATGCCTTCGTCATGCTTGTTTGGGTGAAGAATATCCAAAATTCCTGAAGCATGTACGGATACAAGCAATACGCCGCCAATCCCTGCTGCACTTCCGACCCTGTGAACCATCCATCGGGTTGGCGGTGTCAAGTAATGTTTATTGTTCATCTCCGACTGAAGATCAAAACAGACGATTTCATCTGTATATGTATTATCATAATATATAATTATATGTAATTATATATAATTATATATATACTGTATATATAGGCTCGTCCCAGGCCCTGGAACCACATACGATGGGGTGGGGGGGTGGGGTGGGATGTTAACGTTCACGAACTTGCAGAAGCAGTTGATGCTACGCACACAATGGGTGGGGGGATGGGGTGGGATGTTAACGTTCATGTGAACTTGCAGAAGCAGTTGATGCTACGCACACGCGGGGTGGGGTGGGGGGGATGGGGTGGGATGTTAACGTTCATGTGAACTTGCAGAAGCAGTTGATGCTACGCACACGCGGGGTGGGGGGGGGGATGGGGTGGGATGTCAACGTTCATGTGAACTTGCAGAAGCAGTTGATGCTACGCTCACGAGGACGTGGACAATATATATATATATATATTTGAATATATTTACAGAATTCTTTAGATTTCTTTATATATTCATCATTTTTCAATATATATATATATATATTTATTTATATTTATATGAACTTACATATGTGTATGATGATATGATGATGATGATGATGATGATGACCCTAATGAAACTTGTCAATTCCGCGACGAAATTTGGTCACGGAATTGACAAGTTTTACCAACCTAATTCAGGTTTGCGCGGTTCCAAGACCTGGGACGAGGCTATATATATACATATATATATACTCACATCTATGTACACATATTACATGTTTTACATATATGATCTATATACATATACACCATATCATGTCATACATTTACAAAGACAATCACACACACACATATATATATATATATGAGGTATAATGATATGATATATTGTTTATATATATATATGTACATATTTATATATATATATATATATATATATGTATGATATGTTCTACATCGTTTCGCCCAAGGACCTCTCTCCCAAGCTGGGCCTGAGCTTCGAGTCCATCCCAAATGGCCTGGCTGCCTTGACCAAGGTCCCAGGACGGCCAGCCATGGAGCTTGTGATGTTCCCCTTGGATCTGGATGGGATCTAATAAGATGGTAATGATATGTATATACATGGGATTTAACCAACCATATAATAATTCGGGTGTGTCCAAGAATGGGTTATGCCCACCAATTATAGCCATCAAAACATAAGGGAGTATGTTACCAGTGGTTGGAATGGGGAGTTCCACTAAATATTCAGACAAACCCATATAACCACCGTTTTGTTATTGATTTGACTGTATGTGTTTGTCTTTTCCTGTCACGATCCTTTTACTGTATATGATGTTCATACATTAGTTTGTTACAGCATTGTTCTTATTATGTTTGCATATGTTTGCATATTCACCGATTGAAGATCATATGTGTGCTTTTGTCGTGGCTAAATGGTTGTTTTTTTGAAAGCAAAACCATAGACTAAAGTCTTAAATGGTGATTTGAAGCAAAACACAGGACAGGGCTGGGCGCAGATCGTGGCATTTTTGGGCACCTACGAGCTCTTCATCAACAAACCCGTTGGCGATGAGCCTGGAAATTATGGTGCCCTGGAGCAAAAAGTGAAGCATAGTGAATCGAAAGGGAACTGGGGTATTTAATGGTAATTATATATATATATATACATGCAGGGCGAAACTTATAAATAAATATACGTAATACAACTTAACATTATTAACATATATATATATATATAATTTATATACACATATAAATTACAAACACAAACATATATATATATACCATGGGCACCCAGAAGGTGCAAAACAAAGGATATTTGGCAATATCCAGGATTTGGAGCCCATAACCTTGAACAAAAACAAGTTTTTGACACTTGGTGGTCATACCACGTATAGACTCACAATGCATACATTCAAAATGCATACATTCAATGCATACATTCACAATATACATGTACAGACTCAGAATGCATACATTCAAAATGCATACATTCAATGCATACATTCACAATATACATGTACAGACTCACAATGCATACATTCAAAATACCCGTATAGAAGTATATAGAAGTACATCAATAACGGAATAGCGTAGTAACCAAGTTATTTCACTCGAGGCAAAGGCAACCTCGGCCTCGGCTTCTTGGGCCCCGTGAAAGACCCGGAGGCGCCGCGGAAATTGGGAACATGATTAACCAGCCAAAAATGGGAGTTACCCCATTTTAAGACAAACCATTTGGTCTGAGTTGGCAATGGACGATGTTATATGATGTTATATGGTTTTAGAGTTTTGGTTGGCAAGTTGAAGGTGGTTTACTTGTTCAACATGGATTAACATTGTGTTTTTTTTCCGCTTGCTACATTACCAGGAGGCACCAATGATAGTTGCTTCATCTGGATTGGCCACCACGTGCTTCAGCTTGGGCCAACTGAAGCAGCTGTTAAAAGGCTCAAGATATATGCTGAAGCTTTGCCATGACCACGTGCCAGCGACGCGAATCTTTGTTTTCAAACGACTGATTTGGTGAATGGCCGTTGGAACATATTCTCAGGTGCTTGTTTGAAGATGCTGTTGCAAGTGTTTCGTTCTCACCCATAGAGAATGGCTCATTCGTTTGACCAATATATGTTTTTGACGCTGAGAGCATTGCAACTTGGAGATGGCATACTGAACTCTGAGCGATCGCGAAGCCGTGATCTTCTCGTCTCAGTTGGTGACAGATCGTGCGGTTGCATTGTGCCTCGCCATGCCGCGTATTTCTTATCCGCTTCCTGCTGGAATTGGCAGCTTTGGAGAGTTTTGGCACCTTGGAGCGCAGCCAATCACTAGCCACTATTCCTGGGGAGCACAACAACCCAGTTAACCACAATTTCAGTGCGGACTAGGTTTATTGCAACATGATCCAACATGTTAAAACCATCAAACAGCTGACATCAGTAGCTTGAAACACCCAATTCTTCATCGTCTCCCCAGTAGATCGAGTCTGGCACCGCACCGCACCGCAGGCCCTACTATTGCAGAGAGCATAGTCTGCGTGCCAACCGATGGCTACACTTTTGCGGCAGCCTCACAGGCGCGACAGAACTGCGATGAGTTGCATCGTAAGGTGTTTTTTTTGCGGACAAAAACCATGGGTTAATGGGGGATAGCAGAGATATCATTTGATTTTTGGGGCTTACAATCTCTGGTAATCAAAGACGAGAATTGAAAATTCTCAAAGTTCGATGTTTTGACCCTTAAAACGTCATTAAAACATGGATTTTCACTGGCCAAGTCCGATTACCAGAGGGTAATGGGGATATGATGGGATATGTATTTCTGATAGTCAACCATCTGGATACTGTAAATTATGACAACCTCATGGACTCAGGGTGTTCCGACGTCACAACGTAAATGATGATAATTTATCCAGATCATTCCAGATCAAAGTTTTGTTGAAAAAAAGAACCTGCAACAAACTTAAGAACTGATCGTTGAAACAAAATAGTGATCTTCATTTTGGGCCCGACAGCCGACAGCAGTAACCCCTGAACTTGAACCTGGTATTTTTCTGAAGCTGATGGTACAGCTTGCATGAACGCAATACGTGACCTTTGACAGGTTTGTTCCTCTTCTTCCACACCTTGTTTACCAGTGCAGATAAGCGTCGTTTGCCCCTCTGTCCTTTGATTGGATACGGTTGTGCTTGGATTGGGCATTTCTTTGTGGAGCAGAACAAGCCTGCAAGCTTCAAGTACCCATTGTATCTCTGCAGCAGTAGTCCTGGAAGTTGATTCTTCTCTTACATGTGTTTGTTGTTTTTGTGGCTTTTGAACGCCCATCAAATTATATAATTATTATATATTATTTGTAACTGATTGAGCAGCCAAGCGTACCCAAAGGTTGGGGAAATTACTGTACCTATGTGCTTGTTTTTGTTGGTCAGAGCACGCCGGGGCCACAATTCGACATGCAGGGTTCATGTGGGAACAGTGGGTTACTGATCAAAGGGTTACTGTACTCATCAAAGCTGTTTCGGCATATTGGGAAATACCAATACACACATACTGAAACATAATTACCATGTCCTGTTGGAAAATGCTGTTTCATTCTAAATTATTCTGCTTCATTGAAAATCCTTATACATCATTATGTGCTGTTTGTACTAATAACAAGCCACTGACACACTTTCTCACCCCAGTGGAGGCTACTTGGTTTTGCCAGGCATATCATGTACGACTTGCTGCATCCCATATAGCCTCTCCCTCTGACAGACTGCAACCCAACAACACTGCCACAACAAAACAACACATTCAACTGATACATAAGCAGCCAAAGAAATGCAACAACAAGCAGCAGCAGCAACAACAACAACAACCACAACAACAACAACAACAACAACAACAACAACATGCAAGAACATGCAAAACATGCAAGCAAAATGCAAAACATGCAAACAAAAGTACGGAATCCTGCAAGCAATGCAACACATCAAACAAATGCAAACAACATAATTACAAACAAATGCAAGAACATTCAACAAATATATGTTTGGAGTCATTTAAAGCACCATTTCTGCTTCAGTGTATATATTCATGCAAGTTCATTAAAAGGTTATACATACAAAGCCAATGGTGCCCTCTATCATCCAAGGGCTTAAGGATTCAACAAAGAAAAGCGGATTCCCAGCTCACCACTTGGTTACTGGAGTTACATGTTCTCACCCTAGATATCCCTTGGATATTGGATGATATAACTTTCTGGTGCTAAACGTAACGAATGGTGGAATGGGATGATTGCGAAGACAGTTATGGATTAGATCATTCCCCCATTCCCAATGTTTAGCACCAGTAAGATTAGGATATCCTGAATTTGTGGAGAAACCCATTTTTTGGGATTGTTTGAGTGTGTTTCGGTGAACTGCGTCAAGTGAATACCACTGAAACATTCTTGCCTGGTTGTTGGTGTCATGTTTTAATATCATCCTTCTTGGGATGAAAAAATCCGAATCATCAAGGCTGGTGGTTCCAAATGTTCCAAATACGGATCAGTTTCACCAAAATTAATCAAACACACAAAGTTAAATTGCGACTATGATCCCAGATGATGTTGTTTTGCTTTTTGGACTGGTTGAAACCACCAACAAGTTCTTGGTTCCCATTCAGCCAAGTTTGGCCCCAGGTGTAGCAAGTGAACAAGTGCTGGATTTATTCGTATACACTTGTGACAACCTTGAGGATTTTACCATGAAATGGGAGTGAAACCCACTTCTGGTGAAGTTTCAAAGTCGGGTACCCAAAAAACGTGCTTTTGAAGCACCTGAGGTATTCCTTCACAGGTGACTGGGTCATGGTCTCTTGTCGCCAAGTTTGATATTTCACCGTTGTAAATTGCAGAAGGACGCGTCGGTCGGTGCGGGAAGTAACCACACTATTTCTGGAACACGGATCCCTTTCAATGCAATATAGAGGGAAGAAAACTTGTTGTTTATTTTTTTCGGAAGTGCATTTTCCTTATGTTTTCCACTTTCCTGTGACTTTCATGTGGGTTTGTCTGAAAATAGGGCACCCCTAAGTCCAGTTGTTAATCATCATTTGATCATTTGTCCGTCCTATGAAAAGAATTTAAAAGAGTCATATTGTCTAGGCATAGAACTTACTTTTCAGACGGGCCATGTGGAGTTCCCTTTGCGATGACCCTGCCAGAGCTGTAGGTGTGGATGATGTTGCTGGGTAAGATGGATGCAGAAGTGAAACTTGCTCACAAGAAGTTGGGCACAACACCACCTGAATCGTGAAAAATCATTGACCTTGCGCCCGACCAAAGTGCCGGATTTGATAATATTTGTCAGCTTCAACTTGACACATAGATCATCATAGATCCTATATAGTAATACTTAAAATGAATAGGAATTCAAGATCTAATCCTATCTCTTGGGTCACGAATCCAGCTCAAGATCACAAGTCCAGGATTTGTTGAATGATCTATCAAGATCTGTGCTGTCGTTGTGTTTGAAATTGGGGATGCCTTTTGGATGCCGTTTGGGCGTTCAGAGCTCCGCCATGTTCCGCATCCGAAGATGGCGGCAGTCATAGATCGCCATAGGTCGCCACGAGAAAAAAGGATGCCCTGCTGCTTCTTGTCCATTCACTGCCTCAGACATAAATATGATCAACATGTATCGATGGTAGGAAAGGAGATTTGATCATCTGGGCCATATATTCCTCAATAGTCAATAGATTTTAAATCCTGTATCTCTAACTTGGTAGAGGAGTAAAGTCTTATAAGATGTCTTAAGATATGCTGAGATGCTGCTAAAGCACGTCAAACTGTTCAAACAATGTACGGTAGTTATACTTGGATGTGCCTCTCAGTCCACAACCAAAGAAGGACAGTGTGTTTGCATCATCTGTTCAGCTATTTTTAACTTGGAATGTCCTATATATATATATAATTATATATATATGTAATATATATATATAAGTGCATGATGTGGTCAGCCCAATGTCATGGTCACCCGATTCCATCAGTCATGGTAGTTCTTTATGGCGGCCTCTGGGATGCACTCGATTCGAATCTCGCCTCAGTGGGTAAGAACGTGTAAGAACCATCCAGTTACATATAACATTATATAACCATCTTGTAACCCAGTTACACACTGTATACATCTATGTATTTATATTTTACAGACTCTATATGATATGATATTATATGTACATAAATATACGGAATACTCCCAGTTCCTATATGGTTTAGGCGATTCACCAGATTCATCCCTGGGAACTTCCGGGATCCAAATGATCCATCCAAGTGCCGTCTCTACGGAGGCTCGCAAGAAGAAACTCTCGGCGGAACTTGCCAACGGACGATTGGCGATGATGGCCATCATCGGCCCCATGGTCGAAGCACCGGCGAAATGACCTGGTTGAATTATTTAGGATGATGTTCGAAATAAACATTGCAGCCCAGAATAGAGATGCTTTTCTTAACCAGCCAGCATTTTGTGGGATGGTATAGGGTTACTCATATATATATATTGTCAAATTGTAATGTCATTGCTCAGATTGGGAGCCTGCCAAGGGATTGACGTGCACCACTGGATTTAGACGTGGATTCAGAGGTGCCATATCTGGTCAGATCCATGTCATGTTGAGACGACGTTGATAGATACATTGTTTTTTCGTTTGGAACTTCCTTAGGACATCATCCACTGCTACGCACAGCCGCTGATGACCAATAGTTTGGATGATACTTTGAAGTCCGATGACTTCAGTGACCTCTTTTGGTATGTACCCATCGAAAATCTGGGAAAACAAATCAAAACAGCATACAACACAACTTATTTGTTTTCACGTGTGTTTTTACCATTGTTACAGATCTACATCCATCTACATACCCATCTACATACCCATCTACATACCCATCTACATACCCATCTACATCCATCTACATCCACCTACCCTCTGGTAATTTAACATAGCCATTGAAAATGGCCATTTCTAGTGGATTTACCCATTAAAACTAGTGGATCTTTCCAGTTCGCTAAATGTTTACCGGGTATCCACAAGGCAACACATCCAACCAGCGCCCAAGGTATGCTCTTCCAGGACGGCTTGACCGGCAGCGCCTGGGGGGACTGGGCCAACTACACGGACTCGCCTCTACGAGCCTTTGAAGGCGAGTTGGGTGTGCAGGCACCAGCACCTTGGCAGCAGGTCCAGCAGGTCCATGGTAGGTTTCAATTGGGGATTCTTTAACGGTCATTATTATATTATGAATGGACCATTAGTTAATGGTTATTTTCATATTCCACACACATATATATAATATTATATATATATATAATCATCAATGGTTCATTGACTCATTGGGTAAAGCACCAATCATTGGATAAATCAATGGATAAGTCAGAATATCAACGGATTATTTATGAAGTACCATGGTTTTGCAATGGACTAATTGGCTAAACCACTAATGGATTGACAGAAGGGAACATCGAAATTGGAAACCATGGTTTTCCCTAAAATCATAAGGTGTTCCCTGTGTTTGTTTCCTTGAACCAAACCAAGAAAGTCTATAACTAGGTTCACTTGGGTTCATGGAAGATATAAACCGACAAACATAACTGGGGGGCATCACCTGGCATTATTGATGATGATATTATGGAATCATTGTGCTATCCAATATGTTGGGGACTATCACAGTCCACGACTTGTGATCCGTTCCTAACCAACCAGTATATGTAGAGGGTTGTGAACACTGCTCAGTTAGGAAGGGGTTAATTAATCATCGTAATAACCCATGCGCATATATTACTTCAGTGTATCTCATATTTCTGGATTGCAACATGGCTATTCCATGCTATTGCCCACTTAGAATAATTTGTGCGATAGTTGTTTCGGTCTTTGGTTTGGAACAACCTGGTTGTTTAATGTTGTTTTTTATTGGGCATGAAAACAACCATCACGGGGGGTATGGTGGGATATAGTGAGGTATATGATCAACAATACTGAGATTTGTGTGTTATACGCTTATATTTGTGTGGATGGGTTTATGGCAAGGGGTGTACCTCGTATACTGAAATTTGTGACAGTTTCTGAGATTTTGCTGAAGATTCTCAGTCCTCTTACCTCTCTTGGAGTGTATTCATCGTGTGTATCGATTTCCCCATGGCTTCCACGTGGGGAATCTTTTTTGGGGAATCTATGGGTGATTTCCCGGTTCAACGATTTGGTCCTTTGAGCCATGTTTTCATGTCGATGTTCTTCTTGAAATGGTGAATTCTGGGGGAAATCATCACTTTGATTGCATCAAATCTATATATTCAAATCGGATTTTGTGTTAATGTATGCAGGTATCATTCTGATTAGAAGTGTATTTTGTTGACCAGCTTTGAACATGAACAACTTGATGGAGATATTGGGGAGCCTGTTACTGTCCATTTTGACACATCCTGTACAAATCTAGCTGAATAACTGGGTGTGGCATGGATTGATTCTGTCATAGATCTGTTGGGTCTTCTTCATGGAGACAGAAACTGAGCATGATGTCCTTTTCAAGTCGGCTTGGGCCAAGATTTCAGACCCAGGGAAACACGTCTGTTTGCCATGTGTGGTCATTCACCAGCCCATGTTTTTTTTTTCTCAATTTTGAACCATCCTCCTGTCATCAAAGGATACGAACCATCCCGAGTAATCCACTGCTGTGTGAATCATTTCCCAGTGGTTCAAAGGGTCTTCAAACCATGCGTTGAACTGCTGCTTCTGTGCCCAGCTCCCAACCTTTTTTTAGATCTTGCAATCCCGACCGCAGGAAAAGAAGAAGCCTGTGTGGTAGAAGATCCACTACTTGAGGGTTTCTTGCGGATGTTCATTATCTATGGAGTTGTTGTTTTTCTCCGATGCTCCAAAGATGTAATCCACCATGTAGACAAAGTATTACTAACCATTAACAAAAAAATGTCATATACCAATCAAACCATTCCTAAACCATTACTAATCATTTCTAACATCCGGGTAAAGATTTGCACTTCAGGTGGGTTTCTGGGACCCCTTGGGCCTTTCGGCTGATGGCGACATCGACACCTTCAAGCGCCGTCGCGCTGTTGAGCTGAAGCATGGGCCCCTTGCTGGCCAGTCTAGAAACTGGACCCGTGTTTAATCTCAAACTCAGAAGACTATTCAATAACAATTAATATCTTTAGGGGTATACTCAAAATGAAAGGAAAGTAAACTTTAATCGTTAATTTTTACTTTTCTTTCATTTTGAGTATATAATATAGCCCTAAAGATATGATTAATATAGTGACCATGGATCCACTTTGCCAAGATGATGACCGTGCTATGAGTTTTTCAGTTCTCGCCGAGGTTTTAGTGGAATGGTATCCCAATGGCGCAGCTTTCAATGCTACGGTAGATGGGGTTGTCCAAATGATGTGTTTTGATGCGTTTTGCGTCGGTGTTTTGGTTGCCTGGAGACCGAGATCTGTGTTTGTTTATGGAATTAGAAGGGGGGAATATTTTTTTAGAAGCAGGAGATTTAGCCAACAATGGAAAAGTGAAACTGAAAAGGCAGGCACATGTTGTCAAGCAATATTTGGGTTATATCATGTGGATGTGATAAATGTACACTTGCCACCACTGCGACCATCGTAATCAGGGTTGATGGACAATATCACCCACCCCTAAAAATGTATTTTAGGGGGGGGAGAGGTTGGGGAAAAAAAATACATTTACCGTTCTCCAAGAATTTGATTCCCCAGGACCCCCCCTAAATACATTATTTGACCGGTGGGTGTACGTTAAATGTAGGATCCATGGGTCGGGATATCCAACCCCCCCCAGGATCTTTTATTTTGGGGGGGTGGTTTAATACATTTTACGGGTTTGGTTTTTCCAGGATCCCCGGGAATGCTTAATTTTTTTCTGGGAATACCCTTCTTTGAAAAATGTATTTTAAGGGGGTTGGGTAGCCGAAAAGCACATCATTTTTGGAAAATGGAGGGAATAGATCTGGCTAAGGTAGTCATTGGTACCCCCTGCAATGCATACATTTCAGAATATTTAAGATCAAGTATATTTCAGCATCCCCCTTGGAATTTCCTCTACAGAATCGGGAACGTTACTTCCTGGAAAATGGTGCATTTTAACCCCCTGACTTAATAAGGGGTACCTACCCAGTGTCAACGCTTAGTGTCAACGGTTTCAATTTTATAGAGGACCTTGGGGCCTCTAATTCTATAGAGATTTCATGTTGAATACAGCACTGAGGACTAGTCAGCAGAGAGTCTTAGGGACTGCGATTCTACAGTGGGATACGTTCTCTTTGGATGTCTTTGGATGTATGTCATGTTCTTCAATTTTATAGAGAAGCATTGGCAGAACCAATTTCCCACAACAATTCTTTCATCATCCTTCATCATCCTTGATCATCCTTGTATATTTTGGAATCATTTGGAATCTTGACATATTTTTGGAAACTTTTGGATACTTTTGGATACTTTTGGGATATATTGGAGATTTGTTGGAGATCTATCATCAGGGTTTCATCAGTTATCATCAGCTATATTCAGCAAATATGTACAATTTTGACATTTCAATATTTTACAAAAGCAGCTTTTTCTGGTTTACAAAGTATAAAAGTGACACTTTTCATTTTGGATGTGTCTTTCCCGTTGTGTCTCCCCAGTGTGTCTCACCGTTTTTGGGTCGAAGTCCTCGAGCCAGCCTTTCCGCCTTTCTAAAAAAGAGCAAACGGATGGAAACAAAGCGATACAAAATGAAACAAAATGAAACAGAGATTTTTCAGTGAACACTTGGAGCCTTTGAACTCTATAAATTTGGGAGTGCATAAGGCAAGCTAGGCAAGACTGGAGCATTCAGGTCAGCTGTCAATGAAGGAGACTTGGGGAACCTGATTTTATAGAAGGCCAACTAACCCCCCCCAACCATCTACGAGAGTGACTTGGCGGCATCGATTCTATAGAGATTGTCAACTTGAAAATACCTTGGGGTCTCTGATTCTATAGATGCATTTTCAGAAAGAGGGTCAGGGCCTCCCGGATTATCATTATAATATTGTCAACACCAACACTCTCACTTAATTCAAAGGGGGATATTTCAGCCATTTTATGGCCCATGGGTTTCAGTAGGTTTCCCAGGAAAAAAAGATCAATTGGATTGAGGTGCAGACCCCCCCATGCTTGCATACATTTAGAAAAGTTTATGTATCCATTGGCTCTTGTCAGTGGTGCCCCCCACAAAGCATACATTTTCAGGTTCAATACCCCTACCAATAATACATTTCCAGCATCTGGCACTCATACATGCCTCATTTTGAGGGGTTACCCCCCCCCTAGTTCCCATACATTTTTGGCAAAAAGTGAGGGGGTTAACCCCCCCCTTATGTTCATACATTATCAGAAATGTAGGATCCACCCCCCCCTACTCCTGAACCAGTTGGGGTCGGGGATTGGACAATCAAATCAAATCAAATCAAACTAGATTCTAGATATATTTTGATGTTCAATGTGGAGATGGCAGAAACGAGCATGGTTTCCTATATTGAAATTGGAGGCAAGCCGTTGGCAAACTTCCAGTGTTGGTCTTCTTTATGGTCAGGCTGTTAATGGTATCAGCTGAGTACAACCTGCCGTTGCTGCACGATCTATCACCGCTTGGGAAAGCCCAAAAATTGGATATTACCTGCAGATTATTTCCCCATTGGAGAAATTGATTTGTTCCAGTCCGTCATTGTTCCGTTTTGCAGTTTGCCATGATCCGTTTATTTTTCTTGGTTCATGAATATGTTGCCATTCTTGCATGTTTAAGAACTGTATATGCCCCCCTTTTTTCTTAAACAAATCAACGGTTGTCATTTGGAAAAAAATGGTCACTACGTTCTGCAGAGGCGCATTTGCATGTTGGCCTGCATTGGATACATCGTCCCGGAGTACTTTCGCTGGCCTGGCTACCTCTCCCCAGAGAAGGCGCGCGAGATGGGCCGAGTGGTGCCAATGAGCAACCGATACATCATCATCAAACATATATGAGCACTTATGAGCTACCTTGTAAAAGCTCCTATCAGAAAAACATGAATCAACAGATATAGACTATACTATAGATTAAAAAAAGTGCTCTGAAACATGTATATTATATATGTTTATATAAATCCCATTGATACATATTTAATTATATTATGTACATATTTATTTTGTTATACATGTTTATATATAGTACATACCGTTGTTTCTATCCCATTCAAATCCGTCCATCGGTGCCTTGCATGTGGCAACTTTTTTCCGGGACCGCCTTTGGAATAAACCTGAAAGCTGGATTTTTTGGTGGATGTTCGAATCGATATTGGGGTCAAAAAGTTGAGTTGATTATATATACTATATGTTAATGGTTATTGATTATATGTGAGTTGAGTTGATTTATTCGGATATTGATTATATGTGAGTTGAGTTGATTAACCATGATTAATCCATATAATTGTATAAAGTATAAAGTGATTCAAAGTGGCCAAGTAATGAGGAATCCACATCATCTCCCCATTTTTGGTACATATCCAATATCATCTCATATCCCCACTATAGCCATTTTTGTGGCTTTGATCAGTTTTATCCCATTTAATCCCCATTTTTTACTTGACCATAGCACTGTTCGTAACTTGGGCCCTATTTGGGACGGTGATCAGTGATCATCACAGAATCCAATGACCTCGACATTGGCCATCCAAGGCCATCAGTATGTAGCTGGATTGGGGATGTAGCTGTGACGCCACACTGCACATGATTATCTGGTTGGTGGTTTGGAACATTTTTTATGTTTCCATAATATATGGAACAATCCTTCCCATTGACTCATATTTTCAGAGGGGTTGAAACCACCAACCAGTTATTTTCTTTATTTCTGTAGTTAAATCCTCACTCTGTTGGTGATCAGGCTTGGCATCACCGCAACCAGGGTGAACAGCTAAAGGCCATACATCATGCCTCCAAGGGAAAAAATGTCTGGTTACAGGATACCACAAGCATTCCATGCTTGAGCCACAGCCAGAAACATCACAAGTTGGAGCCATCCACATTTTGTTGTACGGAAAGAGACACCCCCACCTTTGTCTTTGTGCGTTTCAACTGGTATGACTGTACAACCTACTTAGGTTTGAGCTTGTGTACAGTACAGTATATGTTTTTTTTACAGGTTGTACAATATTCATCTATATAATTACTTGACAGGTCGATAATAATAATATCTGTAAACATCAGTTGGAATACTGGTTTGGATGGTTATGGAATAGTTGTATATAGTATAGACTTGTTCAACTTCTATGGAATGCATTGTAATTTGCATTGCTGTTCATCTGAAAAAACAATAATGCATTTTGTGTCCCACACAATCATTATAGCCCTTTTTTCGCATCTTTTTGCTGGATTATATAACCCATAGGATCCATGTATGCTATATATGGTGACATTTACCAACAATATACCCCAAATGTTAGTATATATACCATACATGGATCCTATGGGTAATATAATCTAGATTAATCTAGTGTTTATCGTACAATGCGCGCGGGTTCCGAGACGGTCGGTGTATGTCAGTGTACTGTCATGGTGGATCAACGAAAAAAAGGCTGGGGTTTATGGCGGATGTGTTGTATTGGTAGTTAAATGGGTTTGTTGTAAATTAACCTAGAACTGGACGGGGGCCTTCCTTTATCAACTGGTTCATTATCATGTTTCCCCATGAAATAACCCTGTGACACTTAAAGAAACTATTTAAAATGATCATTTGATGCCATTTAGTTCATCATCACATTTCCCCATAAACCATTGAAATGGCTATGCCAAAGATAGAGATGCTGGCAGGGCATCAAGTTCGCCGACATGCCGCACGGCATCGCGGCCATCGGAAAGGCACGGCGGCATCGTTCCAATAGGGATAATGATGTTTAACCAGAGGATCGAAGATGTTGTTTCTCTCAAAAATCAGAATTATGATGAATTATGTCTTAACATGTATTAACTGTATAATATATATATATGTACATGTATTTATTATATATATATATATTATTATTAATTAATTAATACAATGTATATATATATATATACATAGTATTATTTTTTAATATATATATATAATACTATGTATATATATATATATATATATATATTACTATATTATTATATGTTATTTATTTATATATATATATATGTATACTATCATGCGGTTTTCCTAGTGTTAAATACCCCAAGAGAGACCCCCAAAAGACCAGATCTCCAACACTTAATCCTGGGCGGGGTTCTAAACGTCAAAATACCTATGTTAATTTTCAACAAATTATTATCAACATGTTTATCATGTTTTGAAGTATCTTTGGGATGCTGATCCAAGTTCACTATGATTATCAGATAAGACCAGTTTATGTTATGATATGCTGCGTTTATTTTAAGCCATCTTTGGGACCATGATCCCTATGAAGGAATCCTATGAACGATTACCCATAGGTTTCTGGCTGAGAACGACCGGATGACGTCAGATTGACCCAGCGAAGTTCACCGTGGAAAACTGGGAACGTGATTGAACCGATGGCGGCTCCACGGTTTGAAAAGCAACACCCATATTTCTCTTTGTTGGGGGCAACATTCCCAAGATTCGTGTCTCTTACTTCATTGTGGCTGCACTCATTTCTGGCTCAATCCCAAAATTGCCTGATGATGGTTTGCTCAAGATGTTCCCTTCAAAATCAACGATTGAAGATCCAAACTCCCGGGCAAACTTGGGATGAGACGGGATTGGTTGGTTAATTGATGTTTGATTTTGGGAAAGCAATCATGTCACAGGACGTTTCTAAACAAGATTCACCCGACATTTTCAGAGTACTGGTAGGTCATATGAATCTTTGATCTTTGTACTCTTTGGACTTGGACTTCATGGTAGCAATCAGATTCACCACTCTGCTCTGCAGTGCCTTGCCGCGAGGTGCCATTGGAAGGCTGGGTTCAGATCGTCCTCTTCCTGGGGCACTACGAAGGATAGTGCCATGGCAGCCACGGGGGAAGCCCGAAGAATTGAGTAATGCCGAGTTGCAGTAACCAGTTGAACCTTGGTTGATGATGATGATGGTGATGATGATGATGATGGTGATGATGATGATGATGATGATGATGATGCACATGAATACTAAACAATATATATATATATAGATATATATAGACCAAATAGAATATGCCATATTAATATTATAGATAATCACATATATATATATACATACATAAGTTTCAAAATCCATTGACATCCTGTGATTATATATACATTATATATATATATATTACCCCTGAGGATCCAAACATTTGTTTGTGTGTTATTTCGAGGTCAATATCATGTTGTTACCTCCAGGATGGGCATGTGAAGCGAGATTTTTAAGGCTAGCAGGCGGTACTCACCTGAAAAAACACGAGGACTTATCAACATGAGGAATGACTATCATATTGGTATTGCATTCAATCTACAGGCGTTACCAAACATGGAATATAGGTGTTTAGGAATGATTTACCAAACTACATTGATGTCATTGCGTTTAATCTACAGTTTCCGATTTGTAGAGCCAACATGGGTGCTGTTTTTGATGTTCAGAGGTAAGGAATTACCAAACCCACGTGGCGCCAGGAATCGTAAATGGTTAACCCCTTAATCCAAATGGTAATATCCCATATATTACTTGGTCATTCCAGTCCATAGAGATCGAAAATACTGAGTGGGATGCCCCCCAAACATCGAAGCATGATGGCTTTAATGATGGCGGGTTTTTCCTGTAGTTAGAACTACATGGCACTTCTCAAACCTGGTAGAGATGCTGGTCCCTGATTGCCCATTTTTTTTGATGGGTTGAAGGCACCTATCAAATCAACATGGGAATTTGATGGAACTTGCGTATGATAATCTATGACAAAAGAATGGTGGGTGAACGGTATGGTATGACTAATGATACTGCGCATGGACAAAATCCTGCACTGGATGGCAACTATATAAACATGGAACAAACCATCTAGCAACTGGTGCAGGATTTCTTCCACAGTATGGATTTGTGTGTAGAAGAAAAAACATATTGATCTCTGGCTGGCTACCATCGTTTTCTTGAAATCTACATCTTCGGAATTGCCATGTGTTTTTTCGTTGCAAAGACATCGTTTTCGGAACACCCCCGAGTCTTATGTTGCACACTCGTTTTGAATTGGTATTGATTGGGTATATACCGTACCTTCAGTGTTTTTTTGTACTGAAAACGGTCTTTCCCGCAGTGATGATTGTTTCTTACTCCTCTGATGTGCTTCCAAGAGTGGTTTCAAAGCAATTGCAGGCAGGTTTGCCAACATATTGTAGGTGTCCCAGGTGTCCCAAACATATTGTGGGTGGCTCCAAAACAGAGCGCAATTCCTAAAAGTGGGATGGGATCCGCTCATGCAGCTGAGTTTCTGGCGTCAAGACCCCAAGAGGGCACCAGGTGACTATGAAGGCACACCTGTCCGCGCCCGGCGTAGTGATTCCTGATGTCTGGCCTGGTGATTATGGAGATGGTTTTCAGTTTTGTTAAAGGCTGGGACCTCCAATTTATGTTCTCGTTTTTTTGTGGATAACTGTCTAACATTTGTTCATTGAATACGTAATTACATGGTATAATCAGTATTGACCATATTGACTCCATATTGTGTATGTCTAGGGGACATGTCCAAGCTGTTTGAGTTTCTCGCGTGCAGTCGAGAGGCTATGGATTCCTGGGAGCAGGCAAGAACTTCATCTTTAATTTTGACCCTATCCTCTTTCAGGCGGGGACAAGTGAAGGACATGGATGAAATGGATATGATTGGATATGCCAGATGGATCCAGATGGTGGATATTACTGGTTGGTGGTTTAAAACATTTTTTTATTTTCCATAATATATGGGATAATCCTTCCATTGACTAATATTTTTCAAGACGGTTAAAACATGTTAAAACCACCAACCAGATTAATATTGGAGTAAGAATCCTAGGTTTTGTTGGAAGCATCGTTATTCCTGTGGATGATTTCAGGTGGATGATGATGGGCATGTGGAAACAGATATGGTTGTGCGAAACGGCATCGGCGGGGTAGTAACAAATGAACAGCTCATCAATTGTGGATTCAATCAACAAACATGGTGAATCCTGGAAAAATCATGGGGAGATAATACCCTCTGGTAAACGTTTACATAACTATGGACAATCACTATTTTTGCTAGGTAAATCAACATAAATCAACTATAAATGGACCATTTTCAATAGCTATATTAGTTTACCAGAGGGTAATGAAAATGTCAACCCTTTATCAACAATTATGGTGCCGAACCGGCGAATAGTGATGTCATTTGTTTTTAAAACGCTACCCCGCCAAAGATCAACAGATGGGAAGATTTGTTCTGGAGGCACATGAGGCAGATTTTTTTGATGTGGCTTGTTGAGCCACAGCACTGAGAAAGTAACAATCAATAACAGCATTAAACACATATTCTACAGTAATTATATCATATCATCTCTCTCTCTCTACATATATATATATATATTATATATATTATAGTCCTATTATATAATATTAATATTAGTGATCCACAAGCACAGGTTATCTCATTCAAATCGCCTTTTTTCTGAGGACCCAGAGGTGAGGAAAACCAAATTGGCGGCCGAGTTGGCGAACGGACGCCTCGCAATGGTGGCCTTGATGGCCATGCTCTTTCAGCCGCATGGCACCGCATGGTGGATGGGTGGATGGTGGGAAGCCCAACCCCTCTAATTTTCGTTCAGAGAGCTCTGGAAAAAGTTGAAAATCACCAATTTTAAGAAGTAAATATAGTAAATGATGTACCTGGGCCATGTTTATCCATTTTCCCTAGTTATGTTAGATTAGCAGATGAGGTCGAAGCTGCTGTTCGTTGTGGTTTTCTCGCCATCCCAACGGCACCGGAACTTTCCATGCGTGGAATCCGTGGAATCTGCCGTATCATCGGACCCACCACTGAATGGTTGCATCATATACCCACTAATTCGAGTTTCTTCCCTATTAGCCCTATATAAATCTATATATATATAATATAAATGGATATAAATGGATTGAAGATCCTTGGCGCTGCTATACCTTGAATTGGAAGATATTTGTTCGTTACATGGCAATTAAAACATGCCGTTTCCAAGTGGAACATTGTCTACAAATAGATGGTTTGACTGGTTCACCTCCCCATTGCCATTTGCAATACGTAATATACCAGAGGTAATCCGGACCCATGCGTGGGAACCTGGGTTTGAGATTGAACCTGGGCTCAGGCTTGGATATATTGGATGCGCATCCTTTTTTTTTTCATAGGACAATAGTTACAACAATCTATCAATGGGAGAATTCGTTGTAAGTTGCCATGTCTAACTACAAGGTGGTACCCCGTAGTTAATTAAGTTGGTAACATAACTCCAATTTCACTAGAGTTTCAGTCACAGTATATGTACTCTCTGGTAATTTGTTACATAGCTATTGAACATGGACCATTTAGTTCGTGATTTTTCCCATTAAACAAGGTGGATCTTTCCATAGTTTTTTGTTAATTTGCCAGAGGGTATCGTTAAGTGATGTTAATGAGAGTTCTAACATTCTAATTACCCTCTGGTAAACTAACATAACTATGGGAAATCACCATGTTTCATGGGAAAATCCACTATAAATGGTGATTTTCAATAGCTATGTTAAATTACCAGAGGGTAATTGGGAGGGCCCCACCTTGTACCAAGATCTTCGCTGCACCGAGGAACGGCACTGTGGGCACAACTGGCCCTGCCATGTGGCTCTCAAGCGCCTAAGGGCGCCTATCGCATGTGCGAAAAGAAGGGTCTTGATGTCAAACCATAAACCGTTTAACCGAAGAAAGAATGATATTGAATGGAACAGTTGAATGGAAATTGGTTGGATGATTGGGATAATTGAAATGACATACAGACATACACTATTGTTTGAATGGAAACTGATATGGAATTTCACCCGTTTTAGATGTTTTGCCTCGGTATGGCTGTTCGAGCGTGGCTCGTTACAAGACCTTTCTCGGCCGCCAAAAGAATCACCTGTCCTGCACAGCTTATGTTTAGATATGAATGGATGCCCCGTCATGCTATTGCAGACGCAAAATATGTTTTCACATTAGTGTATATACCCTCTGGTAATCAAACGTGGCAATGACAAATCCACCATTTATAGATGATGTTCCTCTCAAATCCTCCCTTTTTATCTTCGGGATGTTCAATTGCCATGTTTGATTACCTGAGCGTAGAGTTTTATACCCTGCGCCTTGAGTTTTCCCATTTTGCGAATGGAAAAAAAACAAGATGCAGCCCACGAACCCGAATGCTCACACGTATGTTAATGGTACAGATGTCGAAACATGGATATGCAGTCACGCAGAACACTTTTCTGCAATAGTTTATTTGAACGGTCTTGTACATATTTTCCCTGTTACCAGTCTGCAGTGTGGAGTGGAAAGTGTAGAGTGTGGAGTGTGGAGTGGAAAGTGTAGGATGTGGAGTGTGGAGTGTAAAGAAAGGAGTGTGGATTGTAAAATGTGGAGTGTAAAGTGTGGAGTGGGGAGTGTAGAGTGTAAAGTGTAGAGTGTAAAGTGTAGAGTGTGGAGTGTGGAGTGTAAAGTGTGGAGTGTAAAGTGTGGAGTGTGGAGTGTGGAGTGTAAAGTGTGGAGTGTGGAGTGTGGAGTGCAAAGTGTGGAGTGAGGAGTGTAAAATGTAAAGTGTGGAGTGTGGAGTGTGAAGTGTAGAGTGTGGAGTGTGGAGTGGAAAGTGTAGAGTGTGGAGTGCGGAGTGTAGAGTGGAAAGTGTAGAGTGTGGAGTGTGGAGCGTAAAGTAAGGAGTGTGGAGTGTAAAGTGTGGAGTGTCCAGTGTGTAAAGTGTAGTGTGTAGAGTGTGGAGTGTAGACTGTAAAGTGTAGAGTGTAAAGTGTAGAGTGTGGAGTGTGGAGTGTGGAGTGTAAAGTGTGGAGTGTCCAGTGTGGAAAGTGTAGAGTGTGGAGTGTGGAGTGCGGAGTGTAAAGTACGGCGTGTGGAGTGTAAGGTGTGGAGTGTGGAGTGTAAAGTGTAGAGTGTGGAGTGAGGAGTGTGGTTTGTGTGGAGTGTAAAGGAGTGAGGAGTGTAAAATGTAAAGTGTGGAGTGTAAAGTGTAGAGTGTAAAGTGTAGAGCGTGGAGTGTGGAGAGTAAAGTGTTGAGAGTGGAGTGTAAAGTGTGGTGTGAGGAGTGTAACGTGTGGAGTGGGGAGTGTAGAGTGTGTAAAGTGTAGAGTGTGGAGTGTAAAGTGTAGAGTGTAAAGTGTAGAGTGTGGAGTGTGGAGTGTAACCAGAGACACTTTCGGCACGCTAGCAAACAGGTTGGAATGTCGCAAAGTGCCACGTCTGCCACGCAAAACGACATGACAACCTGCTTGGACACATTCGAATAGGGGAGGTTTTCCAGCTTCCCCCATAGACACGGCGACGCCACCAGGAAACCGGAGACTCGAGACGAGACACGTGGATGCAGAAAACCAGCATTTCGTACGAGACTTCCTACAATTTTGACATTTTTGACACATTATCAAACAGGTTGGAATGTCACAAAGTGCCACGCCTGCCACGCAAAACGACATGACAACTTCCTTGGAAACCTTCAAAAAGGAGAGGTTTTGCGGCTTCCCCCATAGACACGGCGAACCCACAGGAACACCAGGGACTCGAGACGAGACACGTGGGAGCACCAAAACGATCATTTCGTACGAGACTTCCGGCGATTTTCACAGTTGGCAACATGACAAAAGGACAAGTTTTGCAGCTTCCCCCATAGACACGGCGAGGCTACGGGAAAACCAGAGACGCGAGACGAGACAGGTGGGAGCACCAAAACGAGTATTTCGTGCGAGACTTCCTCCAATTTTCACACTTTGTAGCTGCAAAATAGACGTTTTCCTACGAGTTTTCCTTAGAACCTGAAAATTTGCAACCTCAAAATCGATGTTTCGTGCGAGGCTTCCGTCAATTTTCAGCACATCACACAAAATGCCACGCCTGCCACGGAATTTGCACCTTGTCACCGCTTGATGCAGCCCTGCCAATGCGATCTGCAAAAAACACGCAACAGGACACGTCTAAAGTGCTGTGCCTGCCACGAAAAATGACGATGGACACGTCCAAAGTGCTGCGCCTGCCACGAAAACTGCAACACATCTTCTGACAACGTCGCAAAAGTATTGCGCCTGCCACGCAAAACGACTTTCGACACGTTCCAGAACACGTCTGAATGTCACGAAGTGCCACGCCTGCCACGCGAAACGAAGCAACGCCACGTCTGAAACCTCCAAAAATGACCACCTCTGCAGAACTTCCCATAGGCACGGCCATATGGTCCTCGCGCGGACGGTTGCGAACGGTTGCGGACGGTTGCGGACGGTTGCGACCGTGAACGCAACGTCGAGCGAACACACCCTCAACCCCCAGACCCCCAGAGTGAAACGGGAACCCTTGCTACGCATTCGGGAATCAAACTTGGTAGAGCCAGCTTTACAAAAGTTGTTTCAAGCCTGTGCTTAGTTGTTTTGCAGATGTTTTCCTGTTTTTTTTTCCGAGCAGGGTAACTATGCTCAGCATAGTTCAGCCATGTGAAAGACGCCATGGCACAATCTAGTTGACCACAGGAACACACAATTCTCGCGACAACAGATGCGCGGATGTGGTGTTGCGCAACCCAAACTAATGTCCAGGATAATCTCACTGGAATAGTTTCAAAAGCCAGCTGTATGATGATTATTGGGGGGGGAGAATGCAATATAATTTGTAAGATATACAGATGTATTGAGGATTATCAAAATCTTTTGAATTATCATCACAAACCACTACTCTCTGGTTGACTAGCACTTTGCCATTGAAAATACTGTATGTGAAAATCACAATTTTGAATCAATACATCATCTACAATGGGGTAATTTTCCATGAAAGTGCCAAATTGAGACAGTTGAATAAGTTTGGATGCAAGCAAGCAACTACACATTGGGAGTTCATAAGAATTGGTCTTCACTGCATGAGTTAAAGTGCATAGGAAGGCCGTGGAAGACTGGTCGTCCATGTCACATGGTCTCAGGCTGGCGATAATTGGTCCCTGTGGGCTATGACTACCCAAGGTTGTAAACCAACATTCCGAAATTTGATCATGTTGCAATTTGACCCGGCTTACATTGACATGGCCCTTAGTTCTTGGTTGGATGCCATACAGCTAGATTTTAGAGCTGGGTTGGGGTTAGATGAGTTTACTGTGCTTTATCACATATCACAACTAAATCAGACTAAATCTATAAGTAATTCTTAGATGGGTCTATTGTGGTTTATCAAACAACATAATTCTCCGAGCAAATGTGGTCAACGTTAGAAGAGGATCCAGACAGCACCAGGAGGGGGAGTTGCTGCTGGACTTCCCAGCGGAGGCAGCCTGGGAACTGATGCTTGGGTGGATGGTAGTTGGATTTAAAATCGATGTCATCTATTATAGTATGCATAAAGCAAATCATCGCACTATACATAGATCTGTAATGATATGCATATATATATATACTATTCGTGTATATAATATATATAGTAATAATAAATATGTTTAATATATGTAATATATATATATGTTTGTGTGTTATTATAGTTATATATGATTACATACATACATACATACATACATACATATATATATATATATATATTAATTACCCCATAGACCATAGCAAACCTCGCGAGAGCTGATGAACTCGGGATCCTGGTGGCCAAAAACCATTGTCCATCGATGGACATAGCGAAGGGCACAGATCAAAGCGATGGTTTATACACTTTAGCTATTGAAAATTGCGATTTAGAGTGAGTTTTCCCATTAAACATGGTGATTTTCCATGGTTATGTAAACGTTTACCAGAGGGTAATGACATTCCAAACGTTTACCTAATGATTTACATTGATTTAAATGGTCATGAACAAATATGACCACTTTAGGTTAGCATGTTTATTATTTATATGATTTACCAAATGATTTGCCAAATGATTTACCGAATGATATAAGAATTACATACCACATTCGAATTGTGTAGACATTTGCGGTCATATGCGGGAGTTTGCTTTAATCAAGGGCTTGCCACATTACAGGGCTTGCCACATTACAAGACATCTGAAGCCGCGGGAATTTTCTGAAGATCAAAGTCTCATCCTACAAGTGCACCCATACTTGGAAATATGTGAGATATCTTCAGGATATACTACATAAGTTACTTAAAATGAATAGACAGTAAAGATTCAGATCATTTTAGATCCCTAAGTTTTTGGAGTTCAACATGGGTCCAGAAAACATCCGCAGATCTGGGGACCTCTGGTTGCAGTTTCTTCCAGGTGGAACCATGTTCTCCTGGCTTGGACGTTGGGTGCCCAGAGTGGTGCCGTGAAATTGTGGCTGTAAGAGGAGACAAAGTTGACAAATGGCTGGCATGTGGGGCAGTTCCAACTTATTTGGCAGGGAGCATAAGCGGTGGAATCTGACCATGCTGAAAACAACTGCGCTCTTCTCGCTACGAAAGTACTGACTTCCTGGACATAACTTTCGTCTACGCATTTCATGCTACGCTACTCAGTTCCTCACATAACTTCCAAATACTCTCTTCCTGCTACGCTACTAAGTTCATCTAAGTTCCTCACATAACTTGGACTCCAGATGACTCCAGTTTTGGCACCATTTTACATCAAGGAATCTGCTTTTGACGGCAGTGAGAACCTCTGTTTGTCAAAAAAGACGTGCTTTTAGGAGCACAGATTCCCGTGCGCTGTGCAGGTTTTGTTTAAACACCAGTGATTTTGGACTGTTTCGATGTGCCAGCTGTGTTTTATCCTGCCACCCAGCTCCTCCAATTCGGCTGTTGTATTCTGTTGGAATCACAGAATCAAGGTCCAAGAGGATGAAGACGAAGGAGGAGCAGCGAGCTCATTTCTGGAAGCAGTGTATGCAGATGAGGTGAACACACCCATCAGCCCATCACTTAATCTGTTTTTTTTAATTATTATTATTGTGGTTCTATAATCCCAAATGTGTTTTGCAATCCCCTACATCCACCATGGTTTCTGGGGAGTGTTTCTTCTATGGACGTGGGAAGGGATTATGAAGATACCAGGGCGTTGACCCGTTTCCATATTGGGGGATGGTCCTCAATCCAGTGATACTGTAGGATTTGAATACACCCATTCTAAGGATTCCTATTATGGGATGGATGACCATAAACCATATACAATCATATACACTCCATATACCAGATCCGCATATTCCGACCCTCGCACGCATGAACGTCTGCTGGATCACTCGTCTTTTCTCATCTTGCCAATGAAAACATGTTATTAAACAATGTTATACAAACTTCGTACATGTATGTATGTACATGTAAACACGTAATTCCTCCAAGTAATTAGCATATGACATTATTGGGGGATGCAAAGACGTAACCGTAACCCGACAGAACATTTGCATCCCTATTGTTATACCCATACATATTGTTGGTTGAAATTCGAGGTTTTGTTGACTTTTCCCCCATTATCATTGATTAATTTGTTGCTGTTTACCTGCCAGTAAATATACAACAAGAGATGAACATCTATTGATGGACATTTCATCAGAAATGATGTGGATTCATAGTGGAAAAAAACTCATGGCTTTGTCATATCTATGTAGACGTAGAAACCAGGTCCGTTGTCATGCTGCTATCAAGATTGTGGATTCCACGTCAAACATACCGTACGTAAGTACTACTGCTTTTTATCACTTGATGCACCAGTCGATACCTATCATTGCTAAGTCGAATTACACGTCTTGATGTGGTCAGGTTTACAAGACGGTCCTATCAGTATGGGTATATTCTGAAACTGCAACGTGTTGTTGATCAACCTTCATTTACCTACACTTGAATCTGCATTTTGAAATCCTCATATCAAGTTAAGCCACCGCCTTTGCAGTTGATTTGGATCCATGGCTCTTCGGTTCAGCGTTGAACATTGCCATTCTTGTCAGTCAAAATACCTTTTTTGTTCGAAAAATGTTGGTAAAATCATGCAACATCCGAATTTGTCGCTGGTAAAATTCTAATTATCGTTGCTAAAGACAATTTTTGCCTTTTTGGGATCAACATATACTTAACTACTTTAAACATATTTTAAAACCATTGACCAATTTGCAGGTAAATTCCATTTTTTTATTGGCCGAATGTGTAACTTTCGTGAAATTCGCTGGTCAATTTGGCTCAGCTGACGGCAACGGACGTTCGGCTCGGCGAAGGGCGCGCGGCCAAGGCGCGAAGGCATGGCATGGCACATGGTGAGACTTCAAAGGTGGCGTATGGTGGCGTGGAATGAATAAGAACATGGTGATTTAACCTGGTTGGTGGTTTGGAACATTTTTTATTTTCCCCAATAGTTGGGATGATGATCCAATCTGACAAATATTTTTCAGGGGGCTTGAAACCACCAATTAGTAACCATATTTAACCAAGAAAAATGGTGGATTTCATGGGATTTATGGCTGATTTATGATAACTAAGTTGGTTTGTAACCGTCAGGTTGCTACTACCTCACTTTTTCAAGCCGTATCGGTGGAATATACCAATATTAAAACAATGTTGAGCCGGAGATATTCCATATATTCAACTGGGCTATATGGTTACAGCGTGTTACAGCCTACTTACGATTCCTGGGTTGCACCATGTTGCACCCATAGCGGGAACTCTTTGGTGCTTGACTCTCGCTCAGGCGCCATGTATACGAGTCAACCGGCTGTGGTGTACAGCCCGCAAGCGCCGCCGGCGCCAGCACAAGCCTATTCTTCGAAACCGGGGCTGAACTCAAAGAGACTGTCCAGGTGTGAGTTTCCCTGTCAACCCTTAATTCATGTTGGGGAACCCGGGGGGTTGAAGTCATGGGATGACTAGTAAAATGACCAGCTTTTGATCATTGGTATCGTGGGTAGCTGTCGAAATGAATCTTGAAACCAAGATGGATTTTTTTCAGCGCTGCGAGGAAGCGAACAAGAATCCTGTCCCTCTACTGATAAACACCCCAGAACCACAGATTCTCTGCTATCTGGTGGATCATCCCATGTCAACGAGTCCCCTTGTCGGGCTTCATTGTGTCTATGGGTTGTAACCCCACTTACTAACCGGTGACCAAATGGAATGATGTTGCACGTAGCATTTCAGCAATGATTGGGGACTAAGGATGCCAGCCTACCCTGCAGGAGCCGTCGTTTGCAGATGAAAGATGTTGTGTTCATGTTTGAATTTGTTCTTGTTTGTCGGCAGTTATACGTGTACTGAGTTATACATATATATATATATATAATACATGTAGATAGAGCATACATATATATATATATACATTCTACATTGATGCCTGTATATATATATATATACTGTATATACACACGATATATACTACCATTTACAGGGAATTTGCAAGAGTGGGTGCTACAAAGAAACATATGAGAGGTTGTAGATGCCTGACCAGGGATTGCCGATTTTTTCACATCGACTCGCATCGGGTTTTTGGAGCAGTTCTTCACTGGTGGACCCTTTGATAATAAAATACGGTATCAACCTTGGCTGGGCTGAAATACTTGATGTATCTTTAAGTTTTTTTTACCATGGCTGTGGCGATTTTTTTGAAAGGATATCCTATAGGTTGGCGAAATTCGACAGGGACAATCCTTCAAGATGTGCTGCCTGGCTGCCTTTCGCAAATGTCAATGTTGATTTTTTTTATCCAGGTACCCTCTGGTAAACTAACTTAACTATGGAAAATCACCATTTTTAATGCGTAAATCCACTATAAATGGCAATTTTGCGTTCCAGGGGATAACTCAACTGCAATCTCTGTGTGTTTTTCCTTTGGATGTCATTGAAGCAAGCTGTTGTGTAGGACTTTATTGTTGTTTCTCTTGCAGTCAACCCACAATATTCAGATGTCGCTCTTTACTAGAGTACATTTAATTTTGTTGTCTAAATATACATTGGCATGTGGTACCATAGTCTGCAGATGTTCATTTGACTGAAAAACCTGAATCTTTCACACCAGTGCCATTCCGGTCTGTTTGACAATTCTGTACTCCCCAATTTGATGCTTAATCATCCCCTCCCTTCCCAATTTGATGCTTAATCATCCTCTCCCTGTCAAAATGGCCATCAGTCGGCTGTATACCCAATGCTTTCCATACACATCCAAAGATCATGTTGTTGGATACCCTGTGGTGAACTAACATCTATTAATATTGTCATTTTCTATAGCTATTGGCTATGTCAGTTTATCAAAGGCTATATTCCCATGTTATTCCTATTAATTAATTATATTCCATCCTGGTACCGCAGGATACATGCCTGGTGTGCCTGGAATGCCCCTGGGGCAAAATGGCTTTTCTTCGCAGGCGCTGGGAGCATTTTTTTGAGCGCTGGGATGGGAAGCTCAGGATCCTGAAATGGAGGTACTTCAGGCCATTTTTCAAGCTATATTTTGAACAGAATGTTCCCTGAAACTAAGGCCTTAGAGTCTTAGAGCTTAGATCAGGAGCTCAGATGCAGTATCCCTTGGTATCCCTTGAAGATGGGAGATGATTGCGATGCTGGGCGGTCTTGATCCCGTGGGGACAACTCACGAGGGATAACATCAGCAGGCACAACTGGACGGTCAACAGATGGTTCCTTCCATCCCCAGAAGGTCCCATGTGCTTGGTACATTGAGGAAAAGGTAGGAAAAGGTGAGCAAAGGTGAGCAATGTTCACAAACCAATGTTTATAGGGCTGTTTGTACTATCTAGTTATAATAGTAACATATATATGTATATATTAGTAATTAAATTAGTAATAATTATGTATATATATATCGGTGTTTAATTATGGCCATGGACTTGGTTCTGGGATTTTGGTCTTCGGTTAAAAAAAGGTCATAATTTTAGACCCTTACGGGACCCAGTGGACAACAAATGGATGGGGAATTACGTGGGGTATGACCATTAACCATCCCATTTCGGGGTCGCCAACTTTTGAAAAAACTGGTTGCAGACAGCAGCGCCACATACTCTAAGCTCCGGTGAACTTATATCTTAGGTTAGAACTTGTTCAGTTAAGTTGTATCTTATACGCTAGTTTGTCAAGTATGGTTGTAAGTTCTCCCTTGCGGATAGGTTAGTTGTAGAATTAAAGGGGTTACTTGTGTTACTTCAAGGGTGAACTTAGGGGGAAGTAAGGGGTAACTTGGGGGTAACTTGGTGGTTAGCGCAATTTGTTGGTTCCATGTCATTGTTTCTTTCCCGCAGCATTTGATTTTCATAGTTTCCGGTTAAGTTGGATCTGTAGTTCGAATTGTTTGTTTTGACGTAGCATGGCACAGCCTGTTGCACCAACAGATGACTCCTCTGCTGGAACGCGTGCGGCGCGTCGTTTGAATCAAGATTACATGAAGATGTATCAGTTCCTGTCTCTTGGTGTTTGGCGACATCTAGGCAGTTCTGAAAGCCAACGATCAAAGGCAGAAGTTTTGTGTGAATTTCTGTATTTGAATCTGGAGATGAGACTGCCTACAGAGCCAACACTCGGCATGATGACGGCATTGGTGGTCAGCAGCAATCCAGAAGTCAGATCGTTTGACTTGCATACTGCCCTGCAGCTTGTTCGATCAACGTGGAAAAGTACTTTCAAGAGATTGGAGAAGAACAACGCTGAAAGGATTGATTTGCTGCCCACATTGCCTGCTACCTTTGCGGAATTGCCACCCCGCATTCAATCCAGATTGTCAGACCAGGTTGCAACACAGGATGCTTGGCTTCTGACGGAAGGTCAGCTGGCTGTCTTGCAGCGGCGCGTGAAGCTTCGGGGGCATGGGCAGCAGGCAGGTGAGTCTGGTGCAGGTGCGCATGAGTTGGCAAATGCGCTTTTAGCTTTGCTGCCTCCAATCTCTGCGGGAGAGTATAGGAAGCGGGAGCAGGGTGGCTTGAAAAATCTGCAGATTTTTTCACCGCCTGCAAAACGTTCTCCTGCGTTGCCAGCTGGTTCGCGTGCATCGACGGCAGAAGCTGCAGCTTCTTCGCGTAGTCTGGGCACACATCGTGACCGGCTTGCTTTAATGGACTGCCCTGCGAGGGCACACGCAAGCACGTCTGCGGGACGTGATGGGGATCGGCACCTGGTGGAGCAGCCTGCGAGGCAGCTCGGTGCTAGCGCTATGGGAGCAGGAGCGCCCCTGTGTGGGACGCAGGGGGATGAAGTGGTCCTGCGTGGGCCATTCATGCAAGCGCCAGTATCCGGTCAATCTGTGGCTGCGCATGAGACTTCCCGGGACGGGAACGTTTCAACGCCAATGCGAAAGACTGTGGCTGTGGGCAAGTCTTCGCCGTTTCCCTGTGAGGGCGACTTTCTGCGTGAAAGAGACATCGAGAAGGCACCGTGCATGAAGCGGCCGGCTGCGAGCCGGAAGGAAACGACTGCGTGTCGCCGTGGGTTGAAGCGCCCTGCTGCGGCTGGGCCCATGGAGAAAGCTTCGGGAAGCCAAGCGCTCGATCCCGAAGGCAAAGATCTGAGCAAGCCTGGGGGCAAGAAAGGACCTCCTGGCCGGGTCGCCAAGTCTAGCGGCAAGCAGCCAGCCAAACATGGAAAGAAAAAGATGCACTCAGCGAAGCTTGGAACGTTGAAGCCGTCCAAGCCTGGTGGCCATAAGGTTGAGCATACTTTGGAATACAAGAATTATACCTTCTCAGCGAAGGGCTATGGGCAGTGCAAGGTGGAATTTTATAGCGCCAAGTCGTATATTCGACAGTGGCTGGAAAAAGAGAAGCGTTACGTTATGATTATTGGAGATTCAACTGCCAAGCATCGTGCTGTGTGCCGAGCGCTTGTGAAGCAGGTTCAAGCAGGAATGACTCGCAAAAAGCTTTTGGAACTGCGTGCTACACTGCAGGCGCGCATCTAGGTATGTCAAATTTTGATCTCAGAAAGAGATCCAACCGGTATCGATGTCGCAATTGGGGGGTATAAAAAGAGCTGTGACTTTCAAGTGGCGGGTCTGGGACAATGGAAATGGCGGAATACAGAAATACAGAACATGCATAAATAAACCAGTTAATATTTTTTTGCATGTTGATTTAATTTTAAAATGTATCTCTATATATTTATACATATATATCATATATATCTGAAAAAAAATATATATATATATATGAATATATTGGATGAAACTTATTTTGTATATACATATATATATATAATACATGTATAATCATGTGTACGTAATTATATTTTACGAGTGAAGAAATGTAGTATGAAAATAACCGCTGCATATTATGTCACTATTTGTTTTTGTATGCATACAATTCATACATGCGTTGAATGTCATGCAGCATGGGGCTCAAACTAGAGGTTCCTCTGCGGAACGTCGCTGCGGTGTGGTGGAGGCCGGATCTTCTCAGCAGAGTGCATGTTTGATTCCAAGTGAGCATGCATATCAATATTTAATCCGTCAAATATAATAGCTTCTAGATTGTCGCCTCCTCGCATTGCTCGCAGGTTGGCACCGCTGGAAATGTCCCCTGCGGGTCCAGAGTTCACAGAGAGCTCCGAAGAGTCAGTGAGCGAGGAGGCGAGCCCTCCCCGCGATGGCACCACTGCCAAAGCCAAAGCTGCTCCCCCACGGTCTTCGAGTGAGACTAGCGCCGAAGAGTCGAATGAAAGCATGGAAGTGGCTTTGGTAGAGGCGCGTGAGGCGCGTCGCGCACGAGCTGCTGAATCGGAGACACCATGGCGCCCCCAGCCAGATGAAGGGAAAGGACGTGGCAAAGGCAAAAGGGCAAGCCATTGTCAGTATTGCTGGCGCCCGCTGACAAGTCATCCGTCCGGGCAGGATCAGCATCAGTGGACCTCGCTGCAGTGCTTGCAGTGGCAACACTACCTACGTGGTGGTGTATCCTGGCAGGAGGCGCGCGAGATGGCGTGGCGCACCAAAGCTGACAGGATGAACCCTGACGCGTACATCCCACCACATCCGGACGCTGCGGGCTCCGGAATTGTGCGCCGCGAGTCCGTGGTGGAGCCGCCGCCGCCACCTCCTCCGAGCCGGAAGACAACTGTGCGAGAGGAAAGCCATGAGAAGGCGGCGCCCTCTGCGCGCAAGAAGGACGCAACCAAGAAGGAGAAGAAGCACAAGAAGGAGAAGGATCGCAAAAAAGACAAGAAATCAAAGCGCCATGTGACCCCAAGCCCCGAGCCCCGCCCTCGTCGCAAGCGTGATCCGCGTGATCCCAGCCCAGATGATGATGGCCACAAGAAGTCCCGTGCGGTGCCTACTGTGCACCGGTTGGATGCGACCACATGGGTCGTCAAGCTCAAGTGAGACTACGGGTCTCAGCTGCGTGGTCTTTCAAAGCACAGCGCCATTCCCTGCGGGGGGGTGGATTACAGTGAAAGCCGCGGCCGCTGACCGCATATAGTTCCCATTGCGGTCTATAGATTTTTTGTTGTTCTTTGGTTTCTGCTTCTCGCATATAAGTTCAGAAAAAGGGTGCATGCAGATATATATGCTGGAACAAAGCAGAAACTGGAGGCAGGACGCGACGCAGATGCTTCGGCTGTAGGAGTGGTAACGCTCCGAGGGATGAAGCAGGTGCGACAAAAAAGGACTTGCTGCTTGGTGGTTCTTTTCTGATGCTAATTGAAATAAAATATATCATGACGGTCCCATAATGATATAGTGTTTTTTAACTTGTGGGTATGTCGGGGGAATGTCGGTAACATGTCGGTAACGTCATCTAAACGTGGTAAAATGAACGTGTCGGTGAGATGTCGGCTCTGCATGTGCTAATTAAAACAGATGATGAAGTGGCATGTCGGTGAGATGTCGGTGAGATGTCGGTGACTCGTGCTGACGTTGTGTATCCGCAGCCATTTTTGGATCGAAGCGTCTTCGTCGGTGTCTGCCTCTGATAGGGATGTCTGCAGCCAACGTGGCAACTGAGACGGCAGACACTGCGCGTGCCTGTAAGCTTTGCAAGCGGGAACTGCCAGCCTCCGCTCCTGGCCGTCTGGTTGGCAAACAATGGACATGCCGGCACTGTTTGAGCATGGAAACGTTGCTGTATCGTCACTTAGGCCCGGCAGATCAACAGGGCTGGTCGGCTGCGGGCCGGGATGATTTTTTCCGGAAGTCTGCGCGACTGGAGACCGGAAATTATCGTTGGGAGACGGTGAGGACGATGGTTATCGAATGTCAGACTGTCGAACGCGTCCGCGAAGAAGGCAACAAAGTCAAGGCTAAGGCCTTACCCATGGACGTATGGCTGGCTAAGGGCTATGCCAGAGAGGCGGTGCTACAGTTTCCGAGCGAAGACTGTCCCATCCTCGGCCCGTTGTATGCGGTGCCAGTCAAGGAGACGACACTTAAGGAGATCAAGCGCGCCGTGGAGCAAGAAGTGCAGAGGAAGGAGCAAGCCGCGAAGAGCAAGGGGAAGCGCAAGCAAGAAGGCGAAGAGGATGATCAATGGGATGTGGTTCCGGAACAAGCCAAAGGTTCCAGCAAGGGCGCTGCGAAGGCGCCAAAGGTTTCTGGACGCTGCGAAGAGAAAAATGCAAAGTCTTTGGAGAAGGAGCGAGAAAAGCAAGAGAAATGCAATACGGAAATGAGCGCATTTGCTGCCCGCGCGGCAGCTGCCCTGTCCAAGAACTTGAAGCAGCTGGAGTCTGTACTTGCGCAGTGCAATAAGGCCAACATCGACTCTGAGGACGTGGAAGCGGCGAAGCAGGCACACGCCCGCGCGGCGACATGGAATAAAGCTGCTGGTGAAATGCTCGGCGTGGCTACAGCCACGAAAGGAACAGGTGCGAAGCTGCCAGAGCTAAAATTTGGTAACAAAGATCTGTCTGAATACTGCAAGGCCACGGTGGAAGTCCTGAAGTCGCTGCGCGCGGCGTTGAAGGAGAGCAAGGAAGCTAAGACGAAGGCAGTAGAAGAAAAGAAGGCGCAGCAAGCTGCGGAAGAAAACAAGTAGCGTAGCTTGCACATATCCGGTGCGCACCTGACGCACCAATTTTGGACAGCGACTCTGGAGAGAAGCGGGAAAAAATAGATCGCAAATGTTGAGTTGAACCACAGTTGTGTCTCTATATATATATAATTATATATATATATGTAGAAATTGGTTTTATTTGTTTTAAAAATGTCAATACTATTCGAAAAGACTTCTTTCAGTGTTGACAGCATCCTTTCTCCTCTTTCACAGTGCACGCACACTATCATATAACCCTGCATAACATATATTTGGGCTCAAAGGATTTAAGCAACATGAGCAGGAAACGGTCTTTGTCCGAGAAGGAAAGAGATAACTTGCAAAAATGTCTCAAAATTCCAGGCATCTCTGAGGAACATGTGCGACAAGTCTGGAATATTGCCGGGGAGCTGCGGGAGGGTGCCTGCGAGGCATCTAAGAGACAACTCTACAACGTTGCGCGTCAACGTTTCAATTGTAGCGCATCATGCTTTATGGAAAAAGAAGCGGTGCTGCTGGATGACACTAAGACGTCCCTGATGGTTCTTGACCTTCCTCGAGCAATCCAAGCACTGGTTGACAAAAGCCCTGCGTGGGCCCGAGCCATGCGAGAAGCGCATGCGGTTGGCCATGGTCAACTGACGGCCCTCATGTATCATGATGAGGTGACATGTGGCAATGTATTGGCTGTATTGAAACGAAAAAAGCTGACGGCTTTTTGCCTTAGCTTCAAAGAACTCTATCAGCACCTGCATGTTGAACAAGCATGGATGCCAGGTATGATTTTCCAAAAGGAATTTTCAGACAAGCTACGAGGTGGTTTGAGTGCGGCAGTGAAAATCTTCGTCAAAGAAATTCACGAGAACAAAAGGATCCGTATCTTCCTTGAGGATGAAACATTGGACTTCGAACTGAAAAGTCGAAGCCACCTGCTCAGCGATCATGATGCTCAAAGAGCAACATTCATGAGCAAGGGATCAGCAGCGCTGAAACCATGCTTATTTTGCGCCAATATATGCAAAAAAGACGCTTTGCGAAACTCAGCCACCTTCTTTGCCATTGACAGCGCCGATTGGGCTGAATTCATCCCAATCGAAGACAAACATTGGAAGTATGCAGTGGAACGGCTGGATGCTTGCACAACGAAAAAGGAACAACACCAGATGGAACAAACCTTTGGCCTTAACAAAGACATACATGGCTTGATGTGGGATGAGGAAGCTCGATGGGCTCTGAGTCCAACATTGGCGTTCAATGACGCTCTCCATTGCTACTTTGCGAACGGTGTGGCTAGCTGTGAACTCCATGCCTACATGGCCAGTAGTGAACAAAAGGGCTGGGGCAGAGAGAAATACATGGATGTGGCCATCAAAGACAAGTGGTTCTACCAAAGACACTCCACACAAGGGAGCGAAAGCAAGGTCCGCCGCATCTTCCACGAGAAGATGTTCGATGGTGATCTCTATAAGGGCGAGGCGCACGACACCAGAGCATTGGTGTATTTGCTGGCCTACTACGCAGTGCATCTACGGGATGCATTGGAAAACTTTGCTTTGATATGTGACTCTTTTCTGGCCCTGAAAAAATGCTGCACAGAAATGAGTCTGGCAAACCGTGGACCATCTCCATTGCGTGAAGAAGAAGAGGTGCGGCCATGGCGAGACGCACAGCTGAGACATCAAGACATTTGTGTTCGAGCACACGGCTCAAACATAGTTAGGCCAAAGCACCATCATCGACTGCATCTCCCGTGCCATGCGTTGCAACTGGGCTGCGTGCCCGACTGTTCCATTCAAGAAAAAAAACATCAAATTTTGAAATCCTGTGGGCTGGTTGATAGACAAAAAGGCAAGCTGTCTGAGTATGGCGATATGCAGCGCTCGCTATCCAAACGCCTACTGGAAGCAGTAGTGGACCAAAGCCAAAAGTTTGGACTGGGAACCTGGGCATTGGATGCGCCACGAGCGGCCACGCACGCTCTTCAAAGCAAATTCAATGCCCAGAATTTACACACTTCCAAGAGCGCAACCCTGCACAGAGTTCAAATCTCTGCAGATGGTATCTTGTTTTGTGGCTCTGACGCTGTCCTTGTTCATGGCTGCTACCACTGTTCAAGCATGGGACAGAAAATGCAACACCATGCATGGGGTACGGAATGGAAAATGCTTCCCACAAACAATCAAATTTTGCTGGCAAAGAAAACACGGAAATATGGTACGCCAATGTGGCACAGATGGACGCAAAGAGACATGGTTCAATGCTTGCATTAAACTTGCAAATCAATACTTTCAGAACATTTGCGCGCGACAGGAAAAAGTGCGAAGTGCATTTTCTTGAGGTACTAAACTAACTTAGGGGGAACTTAGTGCTTCGACTTAACTTCCCCAACTTAACTTCCTATAAGTTCTCCCTAACTTCCCCTTAATCATTACAACTTCAACATAAGTTCACCGGAGCTATGAGTAGCACCACCAAAATGTGGCACAGGTTGAGAATTCAACTCCTGGAGGGACTGCTTTTTTAGATACGATATGATCGCAGTACAAACACAGACATGGCAATATTTCAGCTGTCAACTAGGTCAGGATGGTCGAATGGTAGGAATAGTCATGGTATTGTCCCAATGTATCTTTACTGAATCAGCAAATCAAAGATCTTCGCCATACTGTAGCATTATAGTCATTTGGTCATTACTGATGATTTTAGATATTTAATTGACACTGACATGTCTCAAGTTAAGTATTGCCAGTCCCGTGCAAAGTCTACCAGACACCATTAATCATGTAACTTTACATAGTGACGATTGATGATGATGTATTACTATAGTGTGCTTTCGAATGTTTGTTTGCTTTTATCACCAGCAGTTTCCAAGATCTACCAGACATGGTTTCCAAAGTCAACCTGACACGATTCATCATGTAAAAAAATAGTCAAACTATAGTCAGCATTTCTGATTTGTGCTCGTGAAATTCAAATTTTTGCTGCTTAAGTCACTGATTTGTTCCCTCTTTAAACAGCACCAGTGGCAAAGCCACCTCCGATCGGTCCAGCAGGTCATGTCTCCCAATGGCAGGCGACGGGAACGACGGGATGGCCAGCCCTGGTTGGCTTCAATGGCCAGTGCTTATGGGGTACTAATGAACCAAAAAAATCATCTCGGGCTGCGGGCTGGGTGAAAATATTTATCGTCTGACATCGACATGGGGACCCATGAGTCCAGAGCAAGGAGGTGCTGAGTTCCATATGGAGGGCTCCAGTTGAGAAATGGTCAGTGGCTCATCATGGAACTCAGGAAGCTGTATGAAACTGTGGCAAATGGCTCTGGAAACCGCAAGTGATCCCAGATCATTGTTAGGATGAACAGATTGAAGCGAGGTCAAACTGTCAACTCTGTGTGTTATGTCCTCAGAGACCATTTGGAGATGCGATGTATGACTGTATGATTGTCCAACATGCGCTTGCCAGCATGTAGGTGTTCGCGATGTAATGTGTAGTGCCGGAACAGGCTTGAAATCGTTTGGCAGCCTCACAACTCAATACAGATCTCTCAATGGCTGAAGTCAATATGGGTTTCTCCAATCAAATGTGGGACAACTCCCTAGATCCACCGCTTCATCTTTCTTTTCAGTACAGTTGCCATATATTTTACTTAATGACTTAATGAGTATCGCTGTAGATCATTGTTATGTTGATGATCATGGTTGTGTTGTTCATGTTGATGCTGATCATTGTTGTCATGTCGTTGATGTTGATGTTGATGTTGTTGTTGTTTTGTTGTTGTTGGTGGTGGTGGTGATGTTGTTATTGGTGTTGGTGTTGGCGGTGGTGGTGGTGACGACAACGACGACCAGGGAATTTTCATCACTATTATGGTGGCGATAGAGAGTACAACGTTGATCTAGGCAGGAGGGTTTCTGGTTCGTGGTTTGGAACATTTTTTATTTTTCCATAATATGTGGGATAATCCTTCCCATTGACTAATATTTTTCAGGATGGTTCAAACCACCAACCAGTTGTGCTCATGATTTTTGAACAGCATCAGAATACTTCCAGGTCAACAACCGCGACGATTTCAGCGTTTTGTGCAAGCTTTGAGCAAAGTTTTGTCTTGTGCTTCATCATCGCATCAGTGGCTGACACATCACCAGCCTGTTGCAGCTTAATATTTCTGTTTCCATTCTCAAATTACCCTGACATATCTAATGTCAGGCACAAACATGTTAATGCATTTAAATGAATTTAATGTAGATACAGTACTACAACATCTGACAGGAAAGCTGTACTGAAAAACATGTTTCCGCCGTGATCCGTCAGGCCGGTTGAGGACATGTTTTTGTTCGTGAACCCTGGCTCCGGAAGCAACAAGGGCAAGGCCACGCTCGGCGGGTCATCCCACAATGGTTTTCTGTTCAGATTTTCCTGGTGGGATCTCAGGGGGGATGAGGGATAAGATACTGTATTCGATCATGTCCATAGACGTTGCTAACATCGGAGTATTTGTCTATTTCTTTATTTCTCATTTGTTCTTTTTTATTTGTGTTCTGTGTTCTTATTAATTCTTGGTCTGCTTCTTCCGTTCGTCTCCCTCGCTTTCCTTTCTTCCCTTTGCTCTTCCTTCTTGATCCTTCTTGATTTGTTTCCTTCTTCAATTTGAGATTATTTGGTGCGGCATCATCCAAACAATTCCGCTCTTCAATCACTGGGTGATTGGGCTACTCCCTCGTGAAGGATCGGACCCATATGGCTTGGGCCATGAATTATGGAGCATGTTCCCCCAAGACCAGGATGCTATGCTATGCTATGCTATGCTATGCTATGCTATGCTATGCTGCATATGCTACATTCTCCACTGCTATTGGGGATGGGGCCCAATGTATACTTTCAAGCAACCTCAAACAGCAGATAAATAGGAAGGCCAAATGGCCAATCATTGGAACTTGAGGTGTGAAAACCAAGTGGAGGAC